TATTTTTTGTGCAGGAGGATTCAGTATAACTTAAAAATTTGCTGATACAACAAACTGCATTTATATATGTCCCCAGGAGTCCTGCAGCCCAAAATGTCTGGCATTGCCTCTTGCAATGAAATAAAATCCTCGTCTTTTTCTTTTATTATAAATATATAACATGTAACAAATTCCTTTTAAAAGTCACCTTACCTATATCAAAATCACAGTGACTCAATGGAAGAAGTAGTATTTCTGCAAGATACAAATCTATTGGCTTGACGATTTAAATTCCATTTCTTTCCCTAGCTTATTCTACAGTAACACTGAATTGTCCATAACAAAATTAGACTTGTAAAACATACGCTGGAATTCGGAATACTACAGCAGGTACTCTTTGTTTGTTCCTGTGCTGTCCTCAGAAAAATAAAACACATTGTCTGCATTATGGAGAACAAGCCCTATGACGAGCGGATGGCTATGTATCAATATGTGAGGGGAAGTCATAGGGCGGAGGGAGCAGGCTTGTTTTCTGTTGTCCTTGAGACTAAGATGCAGAACAATGGATTCAAATTATGAATCTATGATTCTATGACTCAAGAGCAGTTGAGAGGTTTTGTGTACAAATCCCTTCCTGTCACCTTTATGTCCTACATCCTTGCAATTAGGTTGGTCTGTAGGTCCCATCTGCACAGCAGTGGATATTCTGTAATGTTAAGATAGATGGATTGATTGCCTCTGTCTTTTCTCCACTTTGAATATCTTTGAATATATAGAATAGGATCTGCCAAACACAGAGGGTACCATTTGCCAAACAGATCTTAGTTGCACACTTTTATCTGATTGGGGAGATGTGTCACAAATTGTGGGTCTGTAGGAAACAGGAACCCCCTTCATTGTGAAGTTAGGGTGGTGTGAGGAAAACCCCATTGGTATTGCTTCAGCAATAAGGCCCCAGACCATTATGTGCTGTCCTCACAATGTGAGGCTTCCTGTATTGCCGATTCACTGGACCTAAAAGAGGTTAGCTTATGAAACAAAGTCAACATCCTAATACTACTCCTTTATCACTGCTGTTTACTTTCTCCACCCAGAATGTTTGAAATATCTAGTGAAAGTTGATCATGCTTGATGGGAAAAGGAGGAGACTGTTATTTTAACATTTATTTCCAAGAAGCCAAATTTCATCTAGATCCTGGTGAAGGGAAAATACAACTGAGCACTGTGCATTTCCTGTGGGGCCACTATTACAAAACACTTGAGTGGAAGTTCATCTGAGCAGGATTCCTAGAACAAGCACCTCATATTGCAGCTTCTGTTGCATTCTTTACTAGCATGTTTCCAGGCTTACTTCAAAGTGCTAGTATTCTCTTTATCAACACAAACAACTTTCAAAGAATATTGACTGCCCTTTGAGAGCAGTTGGGGAAGTTTTTCTGTGTGTTGTTTTTGAGGTGCACTTATTACAAAGCTTGAAAGAGCTCCTTTTATATGGCTCATAAATAAAAGTTTTCTCCTTGTTCCTTGTGACAGTAGGTGGATTTTTAAAAGTCTGTATGTGATGTAGAGATTTCACTAACATAGTTGTTTAGGTCTCAGTACAAACCTTCTCCTTTCACAGAAGCATCTATACGGTGGTATAGGTTTTCTGAGGTTATTCTTCTCATTTTCTATGTTCTTTATATTGCCCCTGGTGACTTTTCTCACATTTCCTACCTGAATTTGAAAACAATGCAGTTTAAACAACAAACTGCTACATGTAATAATAGTAATGATTTTGATTGTTGTAGCATTCATGTGTACTACAGAGCACCTGATGCTTAATAAATTATTGAGGTTGTTGTTTATTCGTTCAGCTGCTTTCAACTCTTTGTGACCTCATGGACCAGTACACACCAGAATTCCCTGTCAGCCGTCGCCACCCCCAGCTCCTTCAGGAAAGAAGCTTTATTGAAGAAATGCTTATATTTGCAATAGACTCACTGTTCTTCTTTCTGTTAGGTATCAAAAGATGAGCGCAGCGATGTTGAGAGTAGTTCTGAAGAGGAAGATGTGACTTCAAACAATAGAAAAGGAATCCTTAGTCCTTCAAACAACGACACCAATCGGATTAATGGCCATGTAACTGGTGACCAGTGGGCAGAAGAGGAGTAAGATGATGGGACTGAGAGGCAAATATAGACTTGCATCCAAATGTCTGAATGTGTCATGCTCCACTTTCCTAAGAAATCTTTAATCAAGCTGTGCCCTCGCCTTCAATTCCTCCAGCAAATCTGAAACAGGGACAGTACAGACAGTCGTGCACAGAAGAGATCAAGCTGATTACTTGTGCAACAGCAATTTTGGTTTCACTTTTTAAAGAGAATAAGCCATTTTGTATTTAATAGTATCGCATGTTTGATGGAGCGTGTGTTTATGTCTGTGGTGTGTGTGTGTCTGTGTGTGACAGAGAGATTGAGATGAGGAGAAAGGCTTGATGCTAAGATCAATTCAAACTTAGGGAGGAGTATTTTGGCTGAGGCTGATTTTTCGCATGGTTCTGCCTTCCATTTAATTGCACTCCAGATGTTATGACTGTATTGTCTAGCCTCATTTGCTTTATGCTCATGGAAGCCAGAGCCAAAGTTGTCCCTATGAGGTGTGATCTGTCCCTAAGAACTAACCATGATAAGCTTGTGGTTGTGTTAGTGAGAAACAGGTGAAGGATTTGCGTAGTAGTGCATGGTGTCCCAACAGCAAATGTGTATGTCTTGTTTGTTTGTGTGGGGAAGAAAAAACTGGCGCTCATTACTTTTGTGGTGGGGGTGCTAAGGTAGTATCTCCAAAATCTTCACTTGAATCTCTTCAAATCACCTGCTTTTTTCTACACATTCTATGGATTTGAAGTCACATAGGAATTATAGAAAGACGTGGATAGATTTGTGGGCTAGGATGATAGACATGGTTTTTCTGTTGTGTGTTGCTGCCTTTTTTTCTTAGGACCAAGTTGCAAACTTGTCTATGTGTTTTGAGAAGAGAAGGAAGTGTGCCACACCTGCTACAGAGCTTTGTGGTATATTCCCACTAGAAGGGAGAGGCTGTCCCACGTGGACTTTGTCCCCCCTTCATTTTACTCAAAGGTACTGCAGGGGACATGGAAGGCAGCAAAGTGTTGTCATGACCAGGACTTTGAAAATTCCCTGAGTTATCTTTTTATACTATTGTTTACTCTGTGATTAAATTTTTTTGCTTGAATAATGGATTCTCTGTGTTTTACTTTACTGAGGAAGGTCATTTAGACTTCAGATACATTTTGCAAACCTGATTTCCATTGCTAAGTTATGCAGGAATACTGTATAGCTGGCTGGATGTTTGACTACTGCAGAAAAAGTAAGAAAGTGATTCAGCAGGTTATTGAAGTAAGCCTGTGTGAATAATATTCCATATGCATATTGAGGTGTTGGTTCTCACACATGTAATGATGGCCTTGTGCATTTGGGAAGAGTCTATAGAAATTGCTGTCATACCGTGATTTATCCTTGAAAACTGTCACTCCATTTTCTTCTTCTACTTTAAAGCAATCACATTTTGTCGTTTGAATACTTTATAAGTTTTGATTGTAATTCCTACTATTCAAACTTTAAAACAAAAACAAACTGTTCTAAGTTGCCAATTATCCTTTTATGCACCAAGATCTTCCAACAGAGTTATAAAGCATAAATCTTCATGTGCACTTTCAGATTGACTGTGCTAGGTAGTCAGTGCTGAATAGCAACATCATGTAACAAAGCTTATGCCCAAAATTACAGCCAGATTTACAAACAATCTTGAACTGCATAAATCCAGTTACAGGCAGTCCCTGAGTTACAAACATCTGACTTGCAAATAACTCATTGTTAAGAACAGAAACGAGACAAGAGGAAATAAGAGAAATCTCCCCCTAGGAAGGGAAATTAATTCCTGAAAGAGTTGTCATGAAGTAAAGGTGTCTCAAGTGAAGCTTTAGCATCAGTCCTTATTTCCACAGCAAGCCATTTTTTTCAAAATCCAATGATCACAAGGACAAAAAGTGTGGTGAAATCCTCTGAACAAGGGCACAGGCAGCAAAACAAATACCACAGAGGTGCTAACCCTTCCCTATGCTATCTAAGTGCTCTCTCTCTATATATGTGTGTGTGTGTGTGTCTGGGGTTACACTTTTAAAAGTTCCTGTTCTGACTTACATGCAACTTCAACTTAAGAACAAACCTCCAGAACCTATTTTGCTCATAACTTGGGGATTGCCTGTTTTGAATTATTGTGTGATCAAATTGTTTCTCCTTAGAAACCAGTTTAGGAACAGCCACTCATTTCTGAATATTTTGCTGAGTTTTCAGCATTTATCCAGTACTCATGTAACTCCCATCAATCCCAGTAAGCATAACTAGGAGGGATGTTGAGGATTTGAGGTCTGCTATATTTGGGGGGGGGGGGGGCATAAGTTTCCCATTCTTGCATAACAGATATCAAAATGCAATTTAAATATCTGCCTAAGTTCTAGCAGAGAACTTTAGTGTTATTTAATGCATGCCAGAAAAGGGCTTTTTAATATATTTTAAAAATAAGAATCTGAAATGACACTCTGAAACTAAATTAGCAAATCTTGATGTCATATGAAAGGCACTCTCATAACTCCTATCTTATCTGTAACATCAAATATACCTCCTGTTACAGTCGGTATCTGCTTACCCATAACATAAAACAAATAGTACACAGCTTTATATTTGCCCTGACAAACAGTTTTCATTTTTATGTGGTTCCTACCTTTTTTTCTTCTATCAAATAATTTTATTTTATTTATTTCGTGTCAAAAGCATTGCATAAATTTGTTCATTTGTGGAGGGAAGAAACACATCTCTAGGTTAAGATGTTGTAAAGCAATACTTTTGGGTTGGAAAAATTAGCCGTTTACAAGAAATGTTGCCTAGGGGATGCCCAACTGTCTTCGAGGAGGCTCTTTCCGTGTCAAATGGTGGGACAACATGACATCACAGTAGAAACAATTCTACAAATATATCTTTTATATTTAAAGCTCTCAGCTTCTATTTACAGAAAGGAGAAAGAAGCTGCAAACAAGAAATGTAATAATTACATAATTATGAACCTGCTTCCATCTTCTTAAATGACCAAAATTCTTGGAGATGCACTTAGAAGTCTCTGCTGAACATGACTGCAATGTCATGTTCAGCAATTTCATGGAGTCAGATATTGGGAAGGCAGTGTTCAGTCTTTAACTGCAGATACTATCTCCTGCTGCTCAAGCTGCTTCATGGCACTCTTGTTTTGGAAATATCGATATGCTCTGAGGCTACAGAGGTAGCCACCATACAGCGTAAGGAGCATCATGGAGCCTGAGAAGGTCTTATAGCCAAAGTCAGCCAGCTGCTTTGAAGAAACCATGATTGCTGTGGAGAAAGCAGAAAATGTGGATCACAATTTAAGCTTCCACAAGAAGAATGTGTAAGTCTCTCCAGGACAATAACAAAAATACTTCTTACGCAGACAGCCTATGAAATTCTTTAGCAGAAAACCAATAGTGCAGGTGTAAGTTTATGTTATCAGAAAAACATTGGTGAGTATATGAAATACACTGTCCAGGCTCAGAAGAAAGTAGTCACCTCCTTCCTGGGGAGACTAAACCAGCAATTTTCTACTCTCGCTCTTTAAGAACAAAAATCTTTTATAAAAAATTATTCCTGATGGAGAATAGTTACCTATATTTTTTCACAGGGTTTAAGGAAGAATAAGAATTGCTAGGAAAAGTGAAAGCTGCTTGAAAATACTATGACTATAAATTATTGGATTTATTTATGTAATTAAGATTTAGAGCAGTTTCACAGTTCAGGTAACATACCGTACTTGTTTGCAGCATGTGTCTTAGAAGAAACCCATGGATAGAGATGAACTGTCAATTAAAAAGATTCACTACACATATGGCTTATGTCTTTTGAGCGTTACATGTTAAGTGCCCCTTACTTAGAAATTTCAGAAGGCTTCCATTACATCTTAAGTCAGTGTTTTGAATATTTCTCTAAGGAACAGTGAACTTCCCAGTAGTGCAGTTTGCTTGGTGATTAACTCACAATGAAACATACTAGCTGTCCCTGGTAATACAAAAATGTTTTTCTGTCAACCTAGTGGTTCCCAAACGTTGATCATCCAGATGTTTTGAACTCTGCTCCCAAAATTCCTGACTTGGCCAGACTGGCTTGGGCTTCTGGAAGCTGAAATTATCATGCCCAGAAGACCACAGTTTGGGAACCACTGTTCAATCCATGACAGTCTCTGCTTTTTTCTTGTAATATTCTGTAATGTTGAAGTGAATTCTGGATCTGTATGCAGAGCTGTAATGTGGTATTTCATTGAAAGAGCACATCATAGCACAGCTATTAAATCTGCAAGGGACAAGTAAGGGCATAAGGAAAAGGTGGAGGGGAACAATACCTTCACAGTGCTAAAATCTGAATGGCAATGTAAAGATTTTACACACATTAGATTACAGTGTGAATTTTGAATGTGATAGTCATCCTGAGAGGCAGGAGGTGGAAGGTGAGTACATGCCTATATTTATATGCTCTGCTAGAAAAATTGCTTCAGAAGAGCTAGAATGGAAACAATACATAGCCAAAACATTCCGTAAAGCAGAAATGTGATGGGTTGCAAAATGTCATGTGTCATGCCCTTTTGTAATTCCAGGCAGGCTCCCTTTTCTGATCCCTTGCCCAGTGAGCATGCTAGCTGTTACCATATCAAGTGTGGACCCCCTGATCAACCCCAAAACTGTCAATACCTTGCTGTTTTGCATATGTGGTGAAGTTATAGCTACATAAGTATCTCCATTCTGGGTTTGCTGCGATTAAACATGAATTCTGAATGACTGGTCGCTCATTTAATGTTCATCTGTAACCAATTCTGGGGGGTTTTTTTAGCTACAGAAGAGATAATTTTCTGTTCTGCAGTGCTCTTTTGAGTTAAAAGCTCATTTCAAATATAACAGCTTCACAGGACTCAAATAGACTTAAGTCTCCATTTGACTTTTTGATATCAGCATTCTAAGCAGCTCTCTCTTTTTGTTTAATGTCTACAACCAGAACACCTGAAAGAGAAACAAGCTATACACTCCATTGTATACTTACTGAATTAAGATTTTTGCTGGGAAATTCACCAGCAAAAATCACACACACACCTCTATCCAGGCTTATCACGCTAGTGGGGCATTGAGTGTACTGGCTCAGTTTATAGCGAGGAAGACAAGAAATAGTACAGGGGAACAATCTCTGCAGAGGGTAGGGTGGAATGATAAATTTTATTTTGGGTTGTCGAAGGCTTTCATGGCTGGAATCACTAGGTTCTTGTGGGTTTTTTCGGGCTACAGAGCCATGTTCTAGAGGCATTTCTCCTGACATTTCGCCTGCATCTATGGCAAGCATCCTCAGAGGTAGTGAGTCTAGAGGCATTTCTCCTGACGTTTCGCCTGCATCTAAGGCAAGCATCCTCAGAGGTAGTGAGGGTTGTTGTAGGTTTTTCCGGGCTATATGGCCATGTTCTAGAGGCAGTTTCTCCTGACGTTTCACCTGCATCCTACATATGATCCAAACTGATTACAGGGCACCATTTCCTCCGATTTCAATAAGCCATCAGAGACCTCAACTCAGATCCTGATATCCTCATTCTCCCAGCAGACAAGGGGAATGCCACAGTAATCATGCATACAGAACAATACAAGGAAAAGGTCAGAAAACTCCTGGATCCTACGATATACAGAAAACTTAAACAAGACCCACGAAACGTCAGGAGAAAATGCCTCTAGAGCATGGCCATATAGCCCGGAAAAACCTACAACAACCCAGTGATTCCGGCCATGAAAGCCTTCGACAATAAATTTTATTTTGTTTGTTTTGCTTTTCCTACAATCCCTCTCATAAAGAGGTCCTTCCACCAGTTTCATCCTTGCAACAAACCAGTGAGAGGAATTGGAAGGTTACCCAAGGCACATCCTGGCTGAATAGGGACCTTTAACCTTATCTCCATTTCTAGGACAACAATCAAGTTTTTTACATGGTTCCTGTCCCCACCTCAACAGTATTTGTCACATGGGGAAGACACATAACTGGGACCCAACAATCCTACATATGATCCAAACTGATTACAGGGCACCATTTCCTCCGATTTCAATAAATATGGCTAATCATCTTTAGGATATTGGTAATCAAAAGGAATGATTGCAGAGAGGGATTATGCTACCATGATGCACACACTGTGACCTGGGAATTGCATGTCCTTTTTTATTTTATTTTTTTACAAAACAACAATAAGGGACAGTTGAAATGCATAACATGCAGAATGAAGTCACCACAATGTGGTGGTTTGAGTATTGAACTAGGATATTGATAGAGTGGAATTCAAATTCCCCCTCTGCCATAGAAATTTACCCATGACCTTGGAAAGTCTCCTTTAGCCAAAGAGGAAGGCCATGGCAAACCCATTCTAAACAAATTTCCTAAGAAAACCACAACAGTTACCATAATTCAGAATTAACATAAAGGCACACAGCAACAAATGTACTTCTTGGGGTACAGTCTGACACCACTTTAACTGCCATGGCTCAATGATACGGAATTCTGGGATTTATAGTTTGGTGGGGCACCAGCACTCTTGGGCTGTTTTACTAGTGATACTGTGTTTCCCCAAAAATAAGGCACTGTCTTATATTTATTTTTCCTCAAGAAGGCACACTATGGGTTATTTTCAGGGGATGTCTTATTTTTATTAAGTACTAGCTGTCCCCTGCCACGTGTTGCTGTGGCCCAGTCTGTGTATATGTGCTTTGTGTGTGTGTATATGTGTATATATGTGTGCTTGCTTATATATATGGGGTTTTGCGCATGTGTTGTAATGTATTTTTTATTTTTTGGCTTTTAAAATATCTTTTGCTGTGTTTTTCAGTGTTTTTATGAGTGATGGTCACTCGTTGGACATGTATATTGTGTCCAAATTTGGTGTCAATTCATCCAGTGGTTTTTGAGTTATGTTAATCCCACAAATGAACATTACATTTTTATTTATATAGATGTTCCAACGATCTGCATTTATGGAATAATCTCAGCTCGGTAGCAAACTGCTTGCTGAAACTTTTCCTGTGTGGGGTGAGAGAGACCCACAGGCTGTTGCTGGTCAGTGCTGGGGAGCAGTAGCTCTACTGGTGTTTGTGGAGGGTGAGAGAGATCCAAGACTGTTGCTGGTTGGTGCTGGGGGAGAGAGAACCACAGTGCTGAGTAAAACACCAGCCACAGCTTTACTTCTTCCCCTTGAGGACACACAATACCTAAAGCAGAGCATCCTGCTCCTGAACTCACTAAGAAGACTTTTATTTTTACCTTCTATGTCTCCCTCTATGCCTCAGCTTGCAGCACACACAGAATGACCAGGACCTGACAGGGAGACCTGACCTTGTATGCTGAATAGCCACAGCTATCACTATGTCTTATTTTCAGGGTCTTTTATTTATTTATTTAGGGCTTTTATATCCTGCCCTTTCTCAACCTCCGCAGAGGGACTCAGGACGGCTAACAAAGTGGCACCCCATGGCGCCCACATCAAAACATAAATATACAATTAACAACAATGTAATAATAACAACAGTATAAAAAAGTATAAACAGTATAAAACCGTATAAACAATATAAAAACAGACAACAAATAGTCAGCGGTCACCAATTTAAATCATTATCCAAGGGCAGTCCCATCAGTTCTAAATAAGTCAACACGTCAGTAGGTCAGCCTATTCTCCAAAGGCATGATCCCATAGCCAGGATTTCACTTGTTTCCGGAAGGTCAAGAGGGATGCAGCAGACCTAATTTCACTCGGGAGGGAGTCCCATAGCCGGGGGTACCACAAAAAAGACTGTGTCCCTTGTCCCCACCAGACACTATTGTGACAATGGAGGGACAATGAGCAGGGTCTCGTCAGATGATCTTAGGGCCCTAGGTGGATTGTAGTGGGAGACATGTTCGGACAAGTAAACTGGGCCAGAACCGTTAAGGGCTTTATAGGCCAAAGGCAGCACTTTGAATTGTGCTCGGAAGCTGATAGGCAGCCAGCATAACAAGGGCGTTCTGCGCTCCCTGTACCCAGCCCCATTGAGCAGCCTGGCTGCCGAACATTGGACTAGTTGAAGCTTCCGGGCAGTCTTCAGAGACAACCCCACGTAGAGTGTGTTGCAGTAGTCTCTTCGGGTTGTAATAAGAGCGTGGACCACTGTGGCCAAGTCAGGCTTCCCAAGGTACGGGCGCACCTGGTGCACAAGTTTTAACTTTGCTCAGCGATGAATCCAGGATCACTCCCAAGCTGCGAACCTGCACCTTCAGGGGGAGTGCAACCCCGTCAAGCACAGGCTGTAACCCTATGCCCTGTTCGGCCTTGCGACTGACCAGGAGGACCTCTGTCTTGTCTGGATTAAGTTTCAATTTATTCGCTCTCATCCAGTCCATTACAGCGGCCAAGCACCGGTTCAGGACATGAACAGCCTCCTTAGTAGCAGGTGGAAAGGAGTGACAGAGCTGGACATAATCTGCGTACAGATGACACTGCACCCCGAAACTCCGGATGATCTCCCCCAGCGGCTTCATGTAAATGTGAAACAACATAGGGGACAATACTGAACCCTGTGGGACTCCACAGTACAATGGCCGTGGGGTCAAGCAGGTGTCCCCTAGCAACACCTTCTGAGAGCGACCCTCGGAGCCACTGTAAGAGCCGCCGCAAACTAGCGTCTTGGGAGAGCAAACTGTGCCAGCACAACCGATGACGTCAAAGACTCCGCCTCTTTCTCCGCACCCGCGTGGTTTCCCCTTTGCTAGGGCAGCAATGCGAGCGTACTCTCGCTGTGAGCGAATTCAACAGCGAGAGTACGCTTGCATCGCTGCCCTAGCAAAGGGAAAACCACGCGGGCGCGGAGAAAGAGGCGGAGTCTTCGACGTCATCGGTTGTGCTGGCACAGTTTGCTCTCCCAAGATGCTAGTTTGCGGCGGCTCTTACAGTGGCTCCGAGGGTCGCTCTCAGAAGGTGTTGCTAGGGGACACCTGCTTGACCCCACGGCCATTGTACTGTGGAGTCCCACAGGGTTCAGTATTGTCCCCTATGTTGTTTCACATTTACATGAAGCCGCTGGGGGAGATCATCCAGAGTTTCAGGGTACGGTGTCATCTGTACTCAGACAGAATTGACAGAATTCAACAGCGAGAATACGCTCACATTGCTGCTCTAGCAAAGGGGAAACCACGCGGGCGCGGAGAAAGAGGCGGAGTCTTTGACGTCATCGGTTGTGCAGGCACAGTTTGCTCTCCCAAGACGCTAGTTTGCGGCGGCTCTAAAAGCACTGGCTTATATTGCACAAATGCATAGAAATCCTGCTATGGCTTATTTTATGAGTATGCCTTATTTTCGGGGAAACAGGGTAGCTGCAGCTGGAAATTTGACGACCTGGTAAAGCATGAAAGCCATTGCAGTGATTTCAGCATTAGACTTTGGGTGGATTCTGAAGAAACAGGCCAAGAGGAAGACGTGTCAAACAAACTCTTCACGGGACCCCATTCTATCTGGAAATCCAGGTCCTCAGTGCAAACAAAAAACCATGCAGATACAGAATAGGTCTCTGCAGTCACTTGCGGACCCCACTGCCAAGACAATCAGACTCAGTCATGAGTAATGACCTATGAGGTGCAGGTGCTTACCTACAAAGCCCTGAACAGTTTGGGACCACCCTACCTGCGTGACCGCATCTCCGTCTACGAACCCACGCGTTCACTTCGGTCATCTGGAGAGGCCCTGCTCGTGATCCCGCCTGCGTCGCAAGCGCGCTTGTTGGGGACTCGAGACAGGGCCTTTTCTGTGGTGGCCCCCAACTCTGGAACGCCCTCCCAAAAGATCTTACACAGGCCCCTACATTGGCAGTCTTCAGAAAGAACTTGAAGACCTGGCTGTTCCGATGTGCCTTCTCAGATTAGGAATCTCCAATACCAAGTCCTAGAAGCACTTTAGTAGAACTAAGATTGCTGCACACCGCACACTGCACTTACTTTATACTCCTACATACCTCCTGCCACATCAGCACTTTTAATCTTGTACCCATTACTCTGACCTGGCCCAGTTTTATAGTGTCTTGATGTATTGTTTATTGTTTGTTGTTTATACTGCTTATCTGTTTTTAATTTGCTTTAGGTATTGTATTGTTGTATTGTGTTTTGAGGCCTTGGCCTATGTAAGCCACATCGAGTCCTTCGGGAGATGCTAGCGGGGTACAAATAAAGTAATAATAATAATAATAATAATAATAATATGATGATGATGACGCTGTAGATTTTTTCCCCACATGTCTGGAGCAACTTGAGAAACTGTAAGTTGATTCTGGTGTGAGAGAATTGGCTGTCTGCAAATACGTTGCCCAGGGGACGCCTGGATGTTTTACCATCCTTGTGGGAGGCTTCTCTCATGTCCCTGCATGGGGAGCTGGAGCTGACAGAGGGAGCTCATCTGTGCTCTCCCCCAATTTAAACCTTCGACCTGTCGGTCTTTAAGACATTGTGCCACCAGTGGCTCCGCTGTAGAATTAATCCAGATTGATACTATTATAACTGACACAGCACACTGCTCTGGGCATATAGGAGTTATAATTTGGCACAATCTTTAGCCAAAGAGTGAAATCAGTTGGGATCTCCAATGGACCATGGAAGCCTCCTGGGTGACTGCTTGGACAAGTCGCACTCTCTCGGCCTTAGAGAAAGGGCAAAGCCAAGCCCCTCTGGGAAAAGCAATGGGCAAAAAGGCCCTGCGACACATTTGCCCCAAGGAGGGAACAGAATGACTTTGACCACCAGGAAGTTCATGCTCCACCTCAATACCAAGAGTGACACCGGTTTCATTCCACTGAGCCTGGTATTCCTTGCATGAGAAGACTTCATGCCCCAAAGCCTCGGAGGCAGATGGAGGACGAACCCTTTTGTGACTGACTGTATAAAAAGAAAAACCGGGTGACCTTCACCTAAGGGGCAGCCCCTCGAATAAGGCAGAAGCGCCCCGGGCCTCGTCCTAACAAAGCACGCCCAGCAAGCCTACCTGAGGGCTGCTCTCCCCTTCGGATTGCCTTGCTGGTGAGGGCGGTCAACACCTTCCACTTCCGGGACAAAGAGGCTCCTGGGTAATTTCTCCCCCTCCCCTCATTCTCCTCAGAAATAAAGTCCTCCTTGCGACACTGTGTGCACATAGAGGTAGAAAGAAGTCAAGAGTGGCCTAACTTTGCTCTACTTTTGAGACTGAGGATTTTCCCAGTGGTCTCTCTGAGCAGCTCCGAAAAGGATTAAATAATGTGTTGTCGAAGAAACATTAACAACCTCAGATATGCAGATGACACCACTCTGATGGCTGAAAGCGAGGAGGAGCTGAGGAGCCTTCTAATCAAGGTGAAAGAAGAAAGCGCAAAAGCTGGGTTGCAGCTAAACATCAAAAAAACCAAGATTATGGCAACAAGAATGATTGACAACTGGAAAATAGAGGGAGAAAATGTGGAGGCCGTGACAGACTTTGTAGTTCTAGGCGCAAAGATTACTGCAGATGCAGACTGTGGCCAGGAAATCAGAAGACGCTTACTTCTTGGGAGGAGAGCAATGTCCAGTCTCGATAAAATAGTAAAGAGTAGAGACATCAGACTGGCAACAAAGATCCGCCTAGTCAAAGCCATGGTATTCCCTGTAGTCACCTACGGATGTGAGAGCTGGACCTAGGGAAGGCTGAGCGAAGGAAGATAGATGCTTTTGAGCTGTGGTGTTGGAGGAAAGTTCTGAGAGTGCCTTGGACTGCGAGAAGATCCAACCAGTCCATCCTCCAGGAAATAAAGCCCGGACTGCTCACTGGACGGAAGGATACTAGAGACAAAGTTGAAGTACTTTGGCCACATCATGAGGAGACAGCAAAGCCTAGAGAAGACAATTATGCTGGGGAAAGTGGAAGGCAAAAGGAAGAGGGGCCGACCAAGGGCAAGATGGATGGATGGCATCTTGAAGTGACTGGATTGACCTTGAAGGAGCTGGGGGTGGTGACGGCCGACAGGGAGCTCTGGCGTGGGCTGGTCCATGAGGTCACGAAGAGTCAGAGACAACTAAACGAATGAACAACAACAACAACAATGTGTTGTCGAAGGCTTTCATGGCCGGAATCACTGGGTTGCTGTGAGTTTTCCGGGCTGTATAGCCATGTTCCAGAAGCATTCTCTCCTGCATCTATGGCAGGCATCCTCAGAGGTTGTGAGGTCTGTTGGAAACTAGGCAAGTGAGGTTTATATATCGTGGAATAACGTCCAGGGTGGGAGAAAGAACTCTTGTCTGCTTGAGGCAAGTGTGAATGTTGCAATTGGCTTCTTGATTAGCATTGAATGGCCTTCCAGCTTCAAAGCCTGGCTGATTGCTGCCTGATATATACAAGCCTCAATTGCCCAGTTTCCAACAGACCTCACAATCACTGAGGATGCCTGCCATAGATGTGGGCGAAACGTCAGGAGAGAACATGGCTATACAGCCCGGGAAACTCACAGCAACCCAGATTTAATAATGGTTAACACAATGAAGTCAGAAATCAGTTTGCCGTGTGAGTCTATTATTATAAGTCTTTGGAGTGCTTGACGTCATCCTTTAACGTAATCCATGGAGACGTGAAAAGTAGGCGATGCCGTTTTCAGCCACGAGCGGCGGAATAGGCGGAAGAGCGCCGCGGTGCATGCTGGAACGTGTAGTTTTTGTGGGTTTTCCGGTTCTCAGTCTGAGGAGTCAGGCGCCCGTCTTCGGAAAGGCGTCCAACTGAGCGGGAATGTTCGGAGGGGTTTCGGGTTGCCATGACAACAAACCCAGAGCGCAAAGGAACGCGTTGGGTTGTGCCTTTGCCATGTCAGAAGTTATTAATGAGGAAGAAGGCGTCCCCGGGGGCGCAATGGGTTCAACCCTTCTGCCAGCTGAACTGCCCCATCTGCCAGCTCCATCTTTCCATGAGGTGACATGGGAGAAGCCTCCTACAGGATGGTAAAACATCCTGGGGAACGTCTTTGCAGACAGCCAATTCTCTCACACCAGAAGCGACTTGCAGTTTCTCAAGTCGCTCCTGACACGGGAAAAAATGAAGAAAGCTAGGGGAGGCCACAGCAGTTAGCTTTTGACAGTACTGACTGGGGCTTTGGATGCTGGACTGAGAGTATAGAGACTGGAGTTTGAATCCCTGCTCGCCCTGGGAGTCTCCCTGGAGGGCCTTGGGCGGGTAGCACTCTCTCAGCCTCCTCGGGGAAGGCCACGGCAAACCTCTTCTGAGCAAACCTTGCCCCGGAGAACCCTGTGGGAGGGTCACCATAGGCCCGAGATTACTTGAAAGCACATACTGAAACTGCTTTCACGCTTTGAATTGAGTTTGCAGCAGTTGAAGTAAAGGAGCCCCTGGTGGTGTTAAACCCTTGTGCCAGCTGAACTGCTGACCTGAAGGTCAGTGGTTCAAATCCGCAAGACCTCCTATCTGTCAGTTTCAGCTTACTTTGCAGGGACATGAGAGATGCCTCCCACAGAATGGTAACACATTTGGATGTCCCGATTCTCTCATACCAGAAGCAACTTGCAGTTTCTCAAGTCGCTCCTGACATGAAAAAAAGCAATTGAAGTAAGGGGAGGTGAAAAGAGACGGAAAATATTTAAAAGCAGCAGATAAAGTGGGATGACAGAGTCTTTACCAAATCGGGATAGTTGAAGGGCAAGGAAGAATTTGTATACCTTTAAATCCACAAATATGTCGGTAAAACTGTCCAGCAGTGGAACTCTCTGCCTCGGAGTATGGTGAAGGCTCCTTCCTTGGAGGCTTTTAAACAGAGGCTGGGTGGCCATCTGTCAGGGGTGTTTTGATTGTGCTTTTTTTGCATGGCAGAATGGGGTTGGACTACATGGTGCATGTGGTCTCTTCCAATTCTATGATTCCAAAAGGCCTAAGATTTGTATTTTTATTATACAGCAGCATGAGGAATATTATACTTCACATACTACCCTTGTTGGTTTGAGTTTTTCTTTGGTAAAGGTATTAGGATGTGTTACCATCCTGTGGGAGGCTTCTCTCATGTCCCCACATGGGAAGCTGGGGCTGACAGGTGGGAGCTAACCCCATGTCTTGGAATCGAACCACTGACCTTCAGCTCAGCAGTTCAGCCGGAACAAGGGTTTAACCCATTGTGCCACTGCGGCTCCTATGGAATCTGGTGCCCTTAAAGAATTGAAGCTTAAAGTGTAGTGGTACTGTAATAGCAATACATACCTAAATAGATACCAATGGCTGGGAACCAGAAAAGAGACGTGGACAATCAATCATTTATCTCAGATTTTGAACCAAGGCTGCCTTGTGCAAATACACTAATGACTTTGAGATCTGTAAATAGCTCTTGTTAAACTGCTCTTGGAAAGTAGCTTTCTCACCAGAACATTCTCAGTGATATCCCCCAAATCCAAAATGATAAGGCGTCTTACTGTGAATCGCTGAGTGAAGGAGAGCTATCGCTAAAGCAGTGCTGTTCTGAACTGCCAGTTTGCCTGCTATTTATAGTTACCCTAAAATGTTGCAGACTTTGCCAGCGCAGAGCCATTTGATATGTCTCCAGATCTGTAACCAGCCCAGAGGAAAAGCTTCCATGGCACCTGACAAATATAATAATCCTGGGTTGGGATGGGGCATGCAAACATAAAATACCATTAGGGATAGAACTGGAGCAGACAGAAATCTTCTGCATGCTTTGCTTTGGCCGCCCAATTCTTGTGCAACTGTCTATTTGCATAACAATGAACAATGCATGTTGTTGCATGAAAACTTGGGAAATTCAGGTTTAGATCTCCACTGAGCCATGGAAACTCACTGGGTGAATGACCTTGGGTCACTATCACACCACAGTGTTGTAGTAAATATAAAGTGGGGAGCAGGAAAGCCATATATGTCTCGAGGTCCACAGAAGAGGAAATTACTAACAAATAACTACAGATCAGGATCCTGCATTGTCAAATTTATCTGCTTCTGCCAGTGCCACCCAGAAGCAGCTGTCTGACAACCTGCATCAGTAGCCCGCCTATCTTAAGAAGCAGGTTTTTGTATTTGTGTGTCTTCAAGCCACCTGTCTACTTATGGCAATCCCATGAATTTCATATGATATTTTAAAGCAAGGAATACTGATGAGGTGATTTACCATAGTTTCCTAAAATATTGCTTACAACTTTTCTGCTTAAACGGGAGTTCCCAACCAAAAATGGGGTCCCCTTAATTTAATGTTGGGATCACGAAAAATTTCCCAACAGTGAAAGGTTTCCGAATGCCACCTATGGTATTTACAGAAATCTATTAGTAACAATGTACAATGTTTACAGTGGACTCTGCAGAAAATGCTTCAGCTGTACTTTATTAAAAGTTTAATCAGCCTGTTTAGCAAGCATTGGAAATGCTGATTTATTATCAGTAAATATTTGATTTCTATACCTATTTTCCATACCTGAGGTCATGTAAAATTTCTCAGATGGAAAGGGTTCATGACTGAAAAACTTTAAGAAGCCCTGGTCAACAGCACCTGGTATTGGCTGGTGCTCTCCCATCCAAGCCTGCTTAGCTTTCAAGATCAGACACAATCTGGTGCTTCTGGGGGATTTAGGGCAGGGTTCTTAAAGAGTATTTGATTAAGGTTTGGAAACCTGAGAGTTACAGTTATAAATAGAAGCAGATGGCCAGAGCTATGTATCCTGTTTCTTCCACTACCACCATTATCCCAGTTATCAAAATGTTCTAGGAGTCTAAGGAGGATTTCAGCTTGCCCTGGAATTTCTAGCTCTGTTCCTGTTTTCTTATTGTCTTCTGCCTAATTTAATCTCTGAACCTGTCCAAGTGCCTGTTCTCTTTTTCTTTCAAGGAAACTTTCAGCTTGTTCTGCATCTCCAGTGCTTCCAGACAGTCTGACTATGGCCAAACCCATCACATCTCAGCGAGGATTAATCCTATTGCTTATGCTAGGGCTGTTCTTTCTCAAGACTGAGAACAGCCCTAAACAGGCTGCTGTGTAGGCAGAACATAACTCCAAATGGCAAAGGGAATCCTTTTTATAGCAACTGCAAAGGGCAGAGAGCTTGTCATTTAGACCTGGGAGAGTTTCACAGAGCAGCTCTTGTACTTACACAGTTTCTCCTGAGTGGATGCTGCCTCTCAAATCAAATCTGCATCCACATTATTGCCCCATCTACCACTCTAGCTGCTAATGACAATGGTGTACCACAAATAATCAGATACAAAGAGAAACTGGACACCTATTCCTCTGGTGAATATTTTAAGAAGGAAATTTGATCAGGAGCTACTTGTCACATGATGGTTGTAAGGCTTGAATCTATTAGGAAGTCCCTCTTCTATACAGCTTCTAACTGCTGGCATAGCCTCACTAGGGGGTGCCGTCTGCACTGGGGAGACTATCAGGGGAATAACACCAAAATGACTGTATATTTGTTTGTGTAGCGTTTCATTAGACATTTTTATTTTTATTAAAATATTCCTGTGTAGTTAGTTATAACCAAAAAAACAAAAAAACAACCCATGAACATACAGAACTTGTATGTTCTGTATCACTATACCTATAAGACTAAAGCTCAGTGTTGATTTACCTTTTGAAACTATTTGTGTACACCAATTGGAGCAGTCACTATTGTTTTCATTGCTGATGTTGTCAAATATTCTGATATTTTAGATACTGTATTGTCATATGTTTTTGTATGGGAGGGGTCTATGTAGCTGACACCATTATTTACTGGAAATAAAAATTACTAGAAGCAATAAAGAGCACTGCTGCTTGAGTAGTCAGTAATGTGAAATATTATAGGTATTATATATAATATGTAAAAATATTCCATGGGTCTGGTAATTTTTACTCTGAATTCCTATATATCAGCAATAGAGAAGACATGGACTTCCAGGTGTTGTTGGACTTCCGACTTCCATTATCTTTGTTGTGCAGTCCTAAGCAGTTAGAGAACATTCTCTATTCCTTTGATATGCCATAGTGTTCAGCACTATACTAGCCATTGTCAACTTGGACGCATCTCATATGATTTTATACTGAAACCAGCGTAACTTGAAAAAAGAGGTCTTATCTGATGGGATTATTTTGTCAATTGAATTTAGATATTCAATTACTAAAATTGTCATACCTTCAATAAAATTGACTATCAGATACTAATGCTGGTGTTCTTAAAGATATATTATGAAAACAGTACATACAAAAGCTAGAGTGCAACATTAAAATTGTTGGGCTGTGAAATTCTCATATTCTCTTTATAATTGGCACCAGCTGGTTTCTGTTTGAAATTTTGTTTGTAACCCTACTGGGGAAAGAACCTCTTTTTATATTCCTCTGCAAAACCTGACTTCCCAATTGGAATTATGTAAATAGCCCAGTACATAGAGGTAGAAGTGCAAAGAACTGATGTTAGAAGTTAAAAGTTACCTGAAAACAGTTTGATCTTCCACCTCATTCATTCTTAGTGAGAGGCCACCTAGTGGCTCACTATATACGTTCACTTCAAAGACATGGCTATGTTAATATGGGATATCAGGTTGGAAAGGATTTTCCGTCTCAAACATGTTTTTGTAGACTAAGGCTACTTTGTCAAATGCATGAAGTGAAATGCTTAGGGACACTGTTAGGATAGTCATAGAAATGGAAAATGTGTGGGTATGGTAAGAAACATGACAACTTCAGTTTTAACAGTGATTGGGGGACAAAAAACAAAAGGGAAGATGTTGCTTAAAGCCAAAGTGAGTATACTCTGTGAATGGTGGAGTTATTGGAATGCAGTGTGATGTTGACTGGGAACCAGAAGGGAGACATGAAAAATGGGCCAAGAGGGCCCTCAGGAATGTAGTGTGCCAGGAAACCATTGTCTCTGTTCAACTCAATGTCAATGGACTGGAGTTTGTGGATATATTCCAATTTCACAGTTTCTCTTTCCAGATTTTCCTCTGTAGGTTTTGTTTAGTCCAAGGACATATTAAGACAATGGGTTTAAGAACAATTGGCCTCCTTCTTAAGCCTTTTTATAATAAGAGAATCACACAAAAGTTAATGTACAAGAACGGATGGTTGTTAGTGTTAGAGCAGAGTATGGAAAACATGCTTTTTGAATTGCATTTCCTTGAGTCCCTTAACCTATGCAGTCAAGGGAATTGTGCTTTCTCAAAAGTTACCTTTCCAAGCTAGAGGCATCTGGCTTAAAAAGCCGATTCTTGAGTGAATCACCTTTATGGCAGTGCTCTCAAAGCAGAGGTGATAACCTACAGAATGTGTGGAGTGTCTCTCTCTGCAAGGGAGCCAGATCCATTTTGTACAGAAAGGGAAACGTATGGAAAGCTGGGGCAAATTACCTACAAAGACTGGAAAAGGCTTTGGAGAAACCACTCAGTCCCTACTAGAGCGAGTGGCAATTAACTCCTCTCACTTTTCCCCATATCAGAAACGGGAAGGCCACATCCTATGTCACACCAACTGGAACACAAGAAGCATATTCCCCACCCCCATTTACATTGATGTATTTATTTTGTTGGCTAAATAGAAAGGTCACAGGGTGTCTAATGAGACTGAGTGTCTAATAAAAGACACAGCAACTCCTGCAGCATCAGCAGATTAAATTGCCATGAGGGATCAAACAGGACTGTAAAGGTTGCTTCAGAAAGTGGGAAACATGCTAGCTACTGTAGTGGGTGAACCCTGTGGCCCCTCTCATTCCCACCATCATTTGGGTCTGCAAGCCTCCTGCTTTGGAGAATATTTCCAGCTAAGAAGCAAAAGTTCCACCACTCTCCAGCCATTTCTACACTGCCATATAATCCAGATTATCAAAGCAGATAACCTACATTATCTGCTTTGAACTGGATTATGTGAGTCTATACTGCCATGTAATCCAGTGCAAAGCAGATAATCTGGATTTTATATGGTAGTATAGAAGGGGCCTCTCGGAACATTTGTAACCTGTTACCTCAATTCTTACCTCACCTGGGAAGGAATCCCACTGGAGCATTGCAACGCACCCAAATACCTGGGAGTCACTCTGGACCGTGCTCTGACCTACAAGAAGCACTGCCTGAATATCAAGCAAAAAGTGGGTGCTAGAAACAATATCATACGAAAGCTGACTGGCACAACCTGGGGATCACAACCAGACACAGTGAAGACATCTGCCCTTGCGCTATGCTACTGCTGCTGAGTATGCATGCCCAGTGTGGAACACATCTCACCACACTAAAACAGTGGATGTGGCTCTTAATGAGACATGCCGCATTATCACGGGGTGTTTGCGCCCTACACCACTGGAGAAATTACACTGCTTAGCCGGTATTGCACCACCTGACATCCGCCGGGAAGTAGCAGCCAATAGTGAAAGGACCAAGGCAGAGACATCTCCAGCTCATCCCTTGTTTGGGTATCAGCCAGCACGTCAATGACTTAAATCAAGAAATAGTTTTCTAAGATCTACAGAGACACTCACTGGAACACCTCAGCAAGCGAGAGTCCAAAAGTGGCAGGCTCAAACCCAGAGCCTCAATCAATGGCTGATACCCAATGAGAGACTCCCCCCTGGGCACACAGAAAACTGGGCGACTTGGAAGGCGCTGAACAGACTGCGCTCTGGCACCACGAGATGCAGAGCCAACCTTAAGAAATGGGGCTACAAAGTGGAATCCACGACATGCGAGTGTGGAGAAGAGCAAACTACAGACCACCTGCTGCAATGCAACCTGAGCCCTGCCACATGCACAATGGAGGACCTTCTTGCGGCAACACCAGAAGCACTCCAAGTGGCCACATACTGGTCAAAGGACATTTAATCAACTACCAAGCTTGCAAACTTTGTGTCTTTTGTATGTTTGTTTGTTCTGTCAAAAATGTAATACAACTGTTCGGTTGCCTGACATGATAAATAAAAAACCTCAATAATCTAGCACAGGGTGGGAGAACTCATACAGACCTCCAGATGTTGCTGGACTTCAGCTCCCAGAAACCTTAGATTTCACAGATATGTTTTCCTGAGTGATGTGGGCTTAGTACCAAAAGTGTGTGTCAGGGACCTCCCACCAGTATTTACCCCAAGGCTGCTGTCATGTGTGGCTCAACAAAATTAGTAATGTGCTTGCCAGAATACTCAGTTGGTGTACAAATGCTGTCACGTGCTCAGTTCACAGGTGAATGGCAAATGTCCCCATGACAATACAAGGATGAAAATGCACTAGGACCAAGGTAGAGCCATTCTCTGCCTTTGCTGGCAATACTGAGTCCCCCCTTCACTGTCCAGGTAACGGAGATTTCAGTTTCTCCCTCCCAGTTTTGGCCTGTGTGTAGTTTAGAACCAGAAAAAATGCTTTTGGTAAGAATTAACTAATTTCTCACTTATATATTTATTCTTCCAAAACATAATATTCACATTCATGGCTGTGGTTCCCATTGCTATAGATAGCAGCGATGCTGAGGCCAGACATCTTTGTCTACAGAGAAAGCAATAGAGAACTCATTACAAAGTGCTATTCTTAACAATGCCTGATGTTTGTTTGTTTTTTTATTCTCCAGGCCTGGCCATTAAAGGCAGGGACAGTATTTGTTCCTCTTTTCTACTGATAGGTATTGGATTTGATAAACCTTTTGGATGGCAACTAAAGCCAAGAGGGATCAAACGTAAATCCACAGCTGGAGAAGTTCAAATTAAGGCAGAGGAATGGAGCAGAGGATCTAGAATGAAGGCTTTCTTTGCACATGGAAGAAATCAGAGCAAAAGCTTTGTCTGTTACAGCGACTGGAAAACGAGCTGCCTTAAGCCAACAAGAACCAAAATAGAGACTGCATGTTGAAGCAACTTGGTGGACATCAAAGGCAGGACTGGTGAATGATGGGGATCCATAGTCAAAGCAAAGCAATTCCATATTTGGTTGCTACGGTGGATCCTATGCTTGTGACATCCCTGGATTACCCAGAGCTCTGTATTCGGTCCCTCTTCTCCTCATGTTGGGGTGACAGCAAATGGCAAGATCCTCCCACTGCCTTGCTTGCTGGAACTAGTCGCAAAGCCCATCACATGTGCTCTGGATGATTCTGCAGGCATGTGATAAACTCAGTGACAGGTCTACCTTTATAGCAAATCTCATAGACAGCAGTGAAGAGTGGGAATCTGCAGGGAGAAAAAAACCATAACAAATTGAATAAGTCCCATGGTTGCAGGAGAGCTTGAGGATGGGAACTGGGAACCTGCTGTGACACAAATGGGAGTACCCACCAGAGCCACTGAACAATTTTAAAACTGTTGAGGTGAGATGCCACATTTAAAGAATGAGGGACATACTATTGCCCTGTTCTTTTTGGAACCCCTAATGAATACAAAAATTACATTTAACTGGTGTAAGGTGGGGATAAGGGACCCGTGGAGCTCCATATGTTCTTAAAATCAAACTCTTGTTATTCCTCACCATTGGCTAACTTGGCCACGGCTCATGAGTCTGACAACATCTGGAGGTTTGCACATTTTCCCTAGTGGTAACAAGTTTTTACTGCGCTTTTTACCACTGGTAAAAAGAAAATTGGCACAGCCACATTTTAAAATTTAAGGGCACAATTGTGCATTATCAATGTGTGTTATGGGAAATGAACAAGAAAAGATTAAACTAGAGCATTTTCTTCTATGCAGAATAGCAAAGGTAAAAGTAAAGGTTTCCCTTGACATTAAGTCTAGGTCCAGTGTCCGACTCTGGGAGGTGATGCTCATCTCCATTTCCAAGCCGAAGAGCCGGCGTTGTCCGTAGACACCTCCAAGGTCACGTGGCCAGCATGACTGCATGGAGTGCTGTTATGTTCCCACCCAGGTGGTACCTATTGATCTACTCACATTTGCATGTTTTCGAACTGATAGGTTGGCAGAAGCTGGGTCTAACAGCAGGAGCTCACCCCACTCCCTGCATTTCAACTGCCAACCTTTTGGTCAGCAAGTTCATCAGCGCAGTGGTTTAACCCACTGCAGCCACCAGGGGGCCCCTATGCAGAATACACAGGTTTAATTTCTTCTGGTTCAAGTTACGTAATACATACACAAAATCTTGCAAATAAGCATGTGGCAGCTTGCACAACTACAGTCAGTAACCACTGGAATCTGTTGAGTGCCAAGGGATCCTGATGCTAAGCAAACTGAGAGAAAATCATGAGTACTTACTTATCTACCAGGTTCTTGTGCTTGAGGATGTGGTTCAGTTCTGCTGAAGTCTGGGGGCCCTGTAGTTTCTGCCCATTGAGCATCTCCTTCTCCAGCTGCTCAATAGACTGCAAAGGGGAAGATGAAGCCCCAGCCCATATATGAATAATTGATTGAAGCCACATAGCTCTTTTTCTAAAAACTAAGTTGAATGATGCCAGAATGGTCCACCTTGATATTCTACTCAGTAAGGTAAAAACATCCAAAAACAGAAGCCATTCTTCTTGTGGTTTCTGTTTCTGGACATATTCACTCTGCAGAGAAACTGATTCAAGAACCTTTTTTCTCTCTTCAGAGAATACTGCAAAAATATTCAATGAGGGAGAGAGGGTGTATCTCTGCTAGAGACCTCCAACATAATTCTCACCATCCTTACAAACTACACTCATAGAATTTTAAAACTAACATAAATATGTGGGGTAGCTATACTCCAAGTCAAGAAAGCCTGTTGTTGCAGTTCTCTTGTATAGATAAAAATGGAGATCATGAAGTTACTAAAGGGCTTCCTATCTGGGTGCTAATCAGGCCTAAAACTGCTCATTGCGGAACATGGGACACTACCATGCAGTCTGATGGGCTGTGCCATGGGATTCTTTTCTGATAAAACTACAGACAACTTGAAGGAAGCATTCCAGTGGCCTCTAAAAGACTGCAAGGTATCTTATGGTATGCTCCTTGGATGACATGCTGCTTCACTGTGTCTAAAAATAGTGCCCGAATTGCTTGGACTGCCAGGCTTAAGTTCTTTGATCCTGGGGGAATAATCCAGTCCAGACTCGGACAACTCAGTTTCTGCTAGAGTATTCCAGATTTTGTAAGTCCTCAGTGTGGTAATCAAAACAAATATTGCAACATCTAACATCAAAAACATTGTTAAGGTAGATGCTGAAATCTTGATTAGAGAGTATTTGACTATTTGTTCAATCTCAGCTCTGTAATATACCATAGGCCACTTTCAAAACAAATGTGGGCAAAAGATGACTTAAATTTTAAAGTTGGATCTCTGGGTGATGTTCAGTACATCAGCAAAGCTTTCAGATGTACTGCTTCAAATGAAATTAGACGTAACAATCTGTGAAAGTGAAGAGTGGACTCTATTGTCGAAGGCTTTCATGGTTAGAATCACTGCTGTAAGTTTTTCGAGCTGTATGGTCATGTTCCAGAAGCATTCTTTCCTGGTGTTTTGCCTGCATCTGTCAAATGGAAGAGTGGACTTCCATTTGACAAGATTGTGAGCTTGGTTCAGTTCAAGTACTGAAAATAAATGACTCTCTTATAGTCTCTGAGAACATATTTGGGGACAGCCTGTTCTTTAATTCAAAGAGTATTCCCCAGGCTCCAAGTAGCAAATATGCAGCCAATTCATAGTTCCAGTGGAAGTAAGCACAAGAACAGAAGCAAGATGAGGAACATGAGGTCTTTCAGATGTTGTTGGTCTGCAGTTCCCATCTACCCTCATCAACACAACCAATAGTGAGTGATGATTTGGGCTGCATCTAATAATATCTGAAGGACTATAGGTTTCTAAGCTGGCTCCTGATAGAAAAAATGGAACAAGCATGTGGAGCGAACTGATCAGTTTGTTCCAAGCACAGTTACAGTCACTCAGTCAAAATAGAAAAAAATAAAGGTTGATTTGTGGACATACAAAAAAAGCTAATACATCGCAGCTACTCACAAAATCATCTTTTTCAAGTATAGGTAGAAGAAATTCCCCTCATGTTAAAGCAGTGCTCCTCAACCTATGTCTGTGGACCACCAATGGTCCACAAGAACTAAAATACGGTCTGCAGCCTCACTGTTACAACATCATTGCAACGAGAGTGACTGATCTCACGAAACCCTCTTATAGTGCTGAGGCTTATTAAATATGCTCTTTGTGGGCAAGCAGATGGTGACTACTGGATAGCATATGTTCTGTATCAGAAACTAGAACTGATGTGGTCTATCTAATGCAATTTTTTGAATCTGCATCCCAAATAACCAAACCGAATCTAAAGTTGACCAAAAACTGATTCATAACTCTTTTGGTACTAATGTTGCAGAATTGTCCCTGGCCAAATGGTTTCTGGTCAATTGGTCTCTGGTTGGGATCCACTGTGTTGAAGTGAAGATTACTTCTTGACAAGCTGTCAAGAGAGTTCTGCCTCAGAGTCAATTATTACCAGAAAATTCCCCACTAAAATCTGTCTTCGCCATGAATATGCCAGGTAAGCTGTTAAGCAAAAACCTAGCTCTCATTTGCAGTACAGAATAACACTATCAATTTAGTTTATGGATTACTAATATTTGAAACATTTCAAACAGTCAAAAGTTTTATGTAATCAGAGATGGGGGAGATTATCAGATATTTCCGTGGGGTTGTAGTGTTCTGGAGTATTGGGCTCTTAAGAAGGGATGTCTAGCAACCCTATGGAAGACGAGGTAGCTCTTAAGAAGGAATAGCTGGCAACCCTATGGATAGACAATAATGGTGCCACTTACCTTGCCTGTCTTGGCAAACGCTTCGGCCACTTTGCGATTACGGCCCCCGTAGCAGGTGGTGATAAGGTCAGCAACCCCACAGCTCTCCAGGAAGGTGGCAGAAGTGACACTGCCCTTGCAGAAGAGTTTGGCAAAGGCGATCATCTCCATTAGGCCCAGGCGAATGACGGCAGCCTTGGTGTTATCTCCAAAGCCTAATCCATCACAAAAGCCAGCTCCAACAGCCACCACGTTCTGAGAAAAAGCAGGGAAGAAGGGTGAGTGGCAGCTGGAGCCCAGCTCTCTCCAACAAACCTAATTCAGGGCACATTTTGCTGGAGAGGCCCATGTTCCTTTATGTCTCCAGTCTGCACCATCTTCCTAGCAAGACCAAGACAGTGACTTTCTACAAGGCTATGTCTATTGATTTTGAGTGGTGCCACGCAATACGAGTGTGGGCAGTAGACTGGAAGGAGGGAAAGAGAACCTAAACCAACTTTCTTTAGCTTAATACACAAGATAGATCCATAGAATTATGGAAGGAAACACAATGACAACCTAATGCATTTTTTTGCCAGCTCAGGAATCCACAGATTAAACAAAGATGGACATTCAATGTCTGTTTAAAAACCTCCAAGAAAGGAGAGTCCACCACATCCCCAGGTAATCTATTCTTTTATCTTAACAGATCTTGCCATCACAGTTATTTCAAAATATTTAATCAGATTTTTTTTCTGGGCACAACTACCATTATCCTGGTTAGTCATGTTGCCATAAGATGATGGGAACCATTCTCCAGTAAATCTGGAGTTTGTCAGATTGGAGGGGACTAACAGACCAGAAGACTAATAGTACCCTTTACTAGTAGTAGCAATGTTTTCCAGAGTTGTACAATGGTTGTGATGGAAGGTAGCCAAATCGTCTGGCTGGCTGTTGTATGTCATTTCTGATTTATGGTTACTTCAAAGCAGGTGATTTGTTCTAAGAGGTTTTCCTTTGCATTCCTGTGAGGTTGTGACTTGGCAAAGGTCTCCAGGTGGGTTTCCATGGCTGAGGAGATTTAAAGCTCCTCTATGTCCTTGCCAAACTCAAACCACTAAATCACACTGACGGTGCCTGCTAGGTCTGAGCAGCCCAATACTTCTCTTCCCTTGCAACCTTGACACTTTTCCTCCTCCCACCACTTTCTACTTCAGTGGATTTATGTTCAGTGTAATGGAAACACAGGACTCTGGACATGGTGTGTGGCAACCACCACAGGACTTCTTCTGACAACAGGATGCACCCCACTGGGTTGACATGAACTGACCATCCCCGCACCTTGAGAGCCCCACAAATCTCCACGGTGTCTGCCTCCTTCACCACTGTGATTCGAAAATTGGGAGTCTGCATCAGCTCCTTCAAAATCTGCCCATGCTCTATGTTCTTACAGCCTATAAAGAGACAAGAAGGCATAGGTATTAAAAATTAAAGGGTCTAACTTTTTCATCGTGTTTATACAGAGATTTGTCTTAGATCAGTGGTTCTCAACCTCCCAGAAATCCTAACAGCTGGTAGACTGGCTGGGATTTCTGGGTGTTGTAGGCCAAAACACCTGAGGACCCACAGGTTGAGAACCACTGTCTTAAATGGACTGAGTCAATTTATGTAGCTCAGTATTATCCACTCTGAGTGATCTTGTCTTTTGAAGGTCTCAGACAGAAGACTTTTCCAAATTCAAATATGCCATAGGGGAGGCTGCACTTACTAGAATATGATGAGATAATCTGAAACATCTCGGAAGTGCCAGGTTGAGAGAAACCTACAACTGATGGGATAGTAGATTGATGCAGAGGCTCTGTGTATATATTATTTCACTAAATTGTGAGTACTTCTGTGGCCTATCTTACACTGTTGCTAGTTAGAGATAACTTCATAAGCTCCTTGGGCATACATGGATCTCATGCTTCTTTCCACTTATCCTAACAACAATCCTGTGAGGAAGGTCAGGATAAGAGAAACTGACCGCTCCTAGGTTGCCCAGTGAGTTTCATAGCCTCGTGGTGACGTCAATCTGGAGTTCCCCAGTCCACTTTTCCAAGAGGCTTGTATGAATGGACAAACAAGTCTATCTTGGAGCTTCTCCTGTTCCTTTTTGAACTCACAGTTCAACTTCCCACTGTGCTATCCTTTCTTTGCTGCTCCCATTGTTGGATTTGTACTGGAGTAGGTGGATAATGGCATTTTCAGCAAGGATGGTTAGAGTTTCACTTCACTTCACTTCATGTTACTTTTTTGAACAATGCTCAGCAATCTCCAAATAATCTGGTCACAGCTATAGTCCATTTTCAAGATCTATATAATAATCAGCATTTCTTGCTGTGATTATGTCAGGGGGATTCAACAGTTGTACCTCATCCTTGTGAAAATTTGCAAGTGATCCACATCCCAGTCAACCAATTTTCCACCAGCTGAGTGGCTCACTTGGATCCCTGCTGATGAGAAAGGAATGTGGCTCAGGAAAGCTGTGAGCTAACTGGTCAGAGGCATTGCACTTGTTTCCCTTCCTTCTTCAATGGATCTAAATCCTAATGCTAGCCTCTCTAGAATTGATCCACTTAAGCAATAGGAACTTGGTAAGTTGGCATTAAGTTGATTAATTAAGTCTGTTTTTGTTGGGGCTAGCAATAAGGTTTAACCTAAAAATTCATCTTTACTGTCTGGGATAAGATATAGCAAATACACATCTGGTATACCAGCATGCAAATGCTCTTACACAGAACTTGGCAAAACATGACCTGTCAATGGATATCTCAAGAAGTTAGCTTGTAGTTTAATTCCCTTAATAATAAGCACAAACTCATTACCAATGGTTGTTTCACAGAACTTTTCTTCTGCCACCTCATTGGCAATGTTGGCCCCCATTAGCACACTCATTTCGATGCCTAGCTGCTCCCGTATGATGTCCGATATTAGCTTCAGCCCATCTGGGCCTTCATCAACCCCCTGCAATCCAAACAAATGTACTAGTTATGCCAGGTTTGTGAGGTACCTTGACTGAGAATCCTGCAACAGCCCACTATCTGTGATCAATGTGAACTCTGACTCAACAGGTCTCCTTCAATTTCTCCAATTATCTTTGGCACTCAGGCATTTAAAAGCACAGTCTGCAGTACATTCTAAGACCCCTATGAACCCTGAAACTGTAGATAATTAGGAAGCTATATTTTGAATGTACTTGGGCTGGAAGCATACCAAAGAATTGCTCTGGGAAACCTAGAGAGGCCCATGGAAACTTCTGAGGAGGAAGATTTATTGGAATGTGGGTAAGTGAAAATGTGGATATTTATTTATTTATTTATTTGCGGTATTTATATACTGCCCTTCTCAACCCCAAAGGGGACTCAGGGCGGTTCACAGATATTGAATTTATCGATAAGATGGTCTTTCTGTATTTCATACTGGCATCTCCCAACTACAAGGTACTACAACTACTAATTGCTTTTTATTTAAAGTTACTCTGTTTAACTCATATAGCGTTAAACGTTAGGAAGAATAGCCACAGGATGTACCTTCCCCATTTTATGGCTACGTGTCCCTTCTTCTTTACAATTCCCTACCCATTTAATTTGTATATATAGGTGTGTCTGTATGTATGTATATATATTTACTCTCTCTCTCTCTCACACACACACACACACTTCTTCCTCTTACCTTGATGAGTGAGACCCCAATTGCATCCTTCTTGATGTGGTCTTTCAGCTGGTCACAGAGCTTTCCAATGAATTGGTGTGGCACTACGAACATAAGGATGTCAGCACCTTCTGAGGCCTTTAAGATATCTGGCACTGCCACCTGTAGCAATTGGAGAAGGTGGAGAAAAGACATCAGGAGGTGTCTGAAAAGGGATCTTCACTAAAGGACAGGAGACAGGTGGACAGAAATGTCAGCTGTTTAACTGAGACCTGCTGCACAAACACAAAATTCCTTTCAATTGTGCACTAAGGAAAGTGGAGCTCCTGGTGGTGCAATGGGTTAAACCCTTGTGCTGTCAGGACTGCTGATCAGTAGATCAGTGGTTTGAATCCAGGGAAAGTAGTTGAGCTCCCTCTGTCAGCTTCAGCTCTCCATGTGGGGTCATGAGAGAAGCCTCCCACAAGGATGGTGAAACATCAAACACATCTGGGTGTCCTTCGGGAAACGTCCTTGCAGATGACCAATTCTCTCTCACAACCTAAGGAAAGTAATTCCACAGAATAAAGTATGCAAATGTTGATGTGTTTACATGCTTGTTAGTCTTTTCTACCTCTATTCATCAGGGCAAGAAGGAGCACAGAACATCTAGTGGTCATTGAAACCCCAACCTTGGAAATCTTGAATTTTGCTGAAAAAAAATACTAAATGTCAAATAACTATAAGAGCCAGAGACTACTGCCACTTCAAATGGTTCAAAGCTAAGGTTGTTGGAATGCAGAAATTCACACACAATACTTCCTCTGAGAGATAAATAAGAAGGACTGACTTGCTGAACTTCCAGACTGTTATTCCAACTGACCTGATAAGCAACTGATCTCTGAAAAGATATTCCCACTTTGGCAGCTGGCAGAATTTGGAAAAGTTAATCTGTGAATTAAGACACTGGGGATTCTGCAGCTGTTTGGGAGATGCTGGGAGCTACAATCCAAGATATTTTTTATCTTCTGCATCATGGTGTTAAAAAAGTTTTACTAAGCCCAGAATTTGTAGTAATGGGGCAGACTGAAATGGAGAGCCCAGGCCCGGGGGCAGCAGGGACAACATTTACCAGTTTTCATGGTGCTTTCTTCACTGAATGAGCAAAACATGACACTATAATATCTCATCTCACTGCATGGACCCAGCATGTGTTCACCAAGTGGGCTCCCTGGCACTCTGGAGGCACTAGGAAACCAGATTAGCTAGCAGGCAGAGGAAAGGTTATTTATTCCTTATGTTACCAAGGCAACCTGTTTTTAGATCTTTATTCTCCTGGAAGATGTACAAGCCAGCCCTGCTGTGTTCCAACCCTGACGGAAGGAGAAGTGGGAGGGCAGGGAAGGAAAGGGAAGGGAAATCTACTCTAATGGAGCTTGCAAGCACTCTCAAATGCTTTGCTATTTTAAATGTTATTTTAAAGCATTTGCAAACCATAGATCATTACAATTCTTCTTTGACAGCCATCACAGTGGTTTCCAATCAAGAACAAAATAATAAACCAAAACTAATGGTGAAACAATATGCTAACCCACAGGTAGCTAAATGAACAGCCGCAAATCCACAATAATCTGAACAAATACCACAGGATAAGGAGATAGCGATAGTTGGCAATCTGAAACCAACATGCTCTTTTGTAACTGTTACATGAAAACAAGGGTGATGTGGACATAATAGATCTCTGAAGAGAATGCTGCAAATGTTGGGACCCCTACTGCAAAAGCCTTGCTCCCAGTAAAGCTCATCTCTGTATAGGATGGACCTTGGATCAGGATCTCATCAAAAGTTCTTGATTGGCAGGGGAGGGAAAATTACAAGGATAAGTATGGGACTTTTTCTGTATATAGTGTAGCAATGTCATTTTAATACTTCAACTTTTAATTGTAAACATTTTATGATATTATTACATAATGCGATTTATTGGTCATTGCTTTGGAATCTTCTCCATAAAGTCAAGCTAAATATACTAATATTGAATACAGGAGAGCCAGTGTTGTGTTGAGTCTCCACTTTGTTGGAAGAAGCAACCTTTTCAAGCATCTTTCTCTATATGATGTTTGTCTGTTTTAATACGTGTAGTTTTATAACCTGAAGAATGTGTCTTATTTGATTTGTAGTTTCCTTATCTCTATATACCTAAAACAGTGGGAGGGGCTGCAGGTCACGTGACTGCTCAGTGACAGTTAAGAATGTTCAGGTTTAAACAAAATGACAGTTGAGCCTTGAGCCTGTTAGATGTCAGTGTTGAGGAATGACTGTTAGAGAGAAGTGTTGAATGAACCTTGTGTATAGAAGTCTGTCAGTGTACAGAAGCTAATGTTAGAAACTTAGAAACTATTGAGGCTTGTGTTGTGTTGAAAGTAAACTCTTACTAAAGAGTGCTGTATAAAGCAACATAGTTTATGAGGAAATAAGATTATAAGTACAAGATACAAACTCTCTGAAACGTTTTTGAAGTTTTAACCCTTGACAAGAAACGTATCTTTAAATATCTTTAAAAGAAGTCTTCTTGCAGCATTGTTTGCTGAAAGCATCAAACAGAAACAAAACATCTACATGTCCAGCGATCATCCATTACCAAATAATCTCTGCTACTCTGATTAGACTGTGATCCTAACAGTTCATGATCTATATACTCTGATTGTTAGTGATCCTAACAGGTCATGATCCATTATCCTCAATACTTGGCCATGGAAACCCACAACTTGAGAGGAAGGCAGTGGCAAGCTTCTCTGAAGAAATCTTGCCAAGAAAACCCTGTAACAGGTTCACCTTAAAGTTGCTGTAAGTCAGAAACCAATGCACACAACAGCAACAAGGACCTCAGTCAACAAAATATGTATTCTTGAGGAAAAAAACCTACTTTAACAGAGTATATGGTACCATGGGCAGAAAAAACATGGAAAGAGGAAACAGAGATTCCTGTGCTTTAAAGAAGTGCAGTTCAACTGGTATCAACAAACAGCTCAAATCAGTCTTGCATAAGTAAATAGAAACATTTTGAATTTTCTAAGAACCAGTTCAAAAATTCTTCCAAAAGACATCCGGGAATGATTTTTTAAATCTCAAACCAGAATGTAGTTTTCTTATGATTTTAATTTTGTTGATTGGAGTAACTGGTAAGACAGGCTTATATCTGCATTCCCCATCCTCTCTTTTTTGCATCTCACATATGTGAAGTAGGGGCCTCTGGAGGCGGCAACTGTTTACTTTGCCTGTTGTAGGTAGGCATCTATGCTGTAGGATTAATGTAGTTTGGCACTTTAACTGCCTTGGCTCAGTGCTATGAAATCCTAGGAGTTTTTCCTTCACACTTCCATTCCTGATCAGAGGAGACTCGCAGCATGCTTTATGATTAGAGCTGGGATGTTAGTAAATTAAACACACACAAATCAAAAGATGGAATAAAAACAATACAGTCTTATTCAATCAGAAGCTTAACAAGGGACATGAAAAGAAACAACCAGCTCAGATATACAGACAACAGATGGAACAGTCCTTCCTGGAGAGCTGCCATTTACCCTGTGGGTTAGAGTATCTCATCTGTGAATGCTTGCTCTATCAAGAGGTAGTCCTACCCAGAAAGATTTATGTCAGGGCACAGCTTAACACATAAGACTCACCAACCATTCAACCTGTTTTAAAGAATAACAACCACCACCACCACCATCCTTATCATGCTGCCTCTGGCAAAAGAAAGCAGCTCCCATGCCACAAAGCTTTAAAATTCTCGTGCTTTTATGTCAAGCCATTTTGAGTCTTCTTCAGAAGAGGTAAAACAGAGTAATAATAATAATAATAATAATAATAATAATAGTAATAATCTTAGCCGGGATTTGGAAACAATAAACATCGACAAAATCACAATCTGTCAATTGCAAAAGGCTACCTTACTTGGATCTGCGCGCATCATTTGAAAATACATCACACAGTCTTAGACGCTTGGGAAGTGTTCGACTTGTGATTTTGTGATACAAAATCCTGCATATAGATCTCATTTGCTGTGGCATACTGTGTTTTTGTGTCAATAATAATAATAATAATAATAATAATAATAATAATAAATGGAACTCAAAAATCCTGAAAGGGTTAAACTGGAAAAGGAAGTAACTTTGTATGTATACATTGTGAGAATGATTTAGGAATTTCAAGGAAATACGTATGAGTTTTGCTGAGCTTTAACCAACATGAGAGAATGTCCCTTCACCAAAGTCCTTTGGGTGATAAACAATGTACTGACAGTCTCTGAGATACAAACATCTTCCAGTGTTTATATTAAAATGAAAGTAGTGCTAACTCTTCCCCCGCAAAACTGTTCTTAATAATAATTGGAAAACTATCAACAAAGATTTTCAGTGATTTGCACAGGAAAGAAGGTCCTCTAGAACCAAGTGTTCTGCTTTTCTCATTATGTTCATGTTCCACAATATTCATTCTTCATCTACTCTCCCCAGGATCTCTGTGTTTGTTCCTTGCTGCATTCCCCCCACTTCAGATAATGAAGGAGATGCTGGTTTTCAAACTACTGCCAGTACACGAAACACCCTAACAAAGAAGTCCTTTGTGCAGTGGGTGAAACAAGTTACATTCTCAGCATTCAGCACATTTCAGTTCATTAAAAGCACTTTTAAATCTCTGCAGATTCGAGTGGGAGATTCTTAAAACTCCTCCTTCACCCCTTCAGTGGAACTAAATGTTTGTAAGATCTGGCAGGACACACTCCATGTTAAGATGGCGGTGGCAGCATTGCACAGTCCTCTAGTTTTGCCCATTGATCAGTAAAATAGTTATTTCTGTCCACCAGGTCTGGGAGCGACAGGCATTTATATCTCTCACTCAGCTGTGGAGATGTTTTGTGAATGAAACAACCACTATTTCTGCTTTTGGGCATTTCAGAAGTTATCCCAGAATTTAAAAACAGGCTGACAAAGTTTTGCCTTTGTCTCTGTGTTGTGCAGAACCACAATTTCTGTTTGCGATGGGAGATGATGATGCTACTCCTTTGTACGATGCCATTCTTCACAGATGACTGCAAGATACACTTTAAGGCAGTGATTCCCAAACCTTTTTTGACCAGGGACCACTTTGACCAGAAACCACTTGATCAGCAACCACTCTTCAACATTAGTACCAAAAGGGATATAAATCAGTTTTTGGTCAGCTTTAGATTCGGATTGGTTAATTGGGGTGTTGATTCATGAAATTGCATTGGATAGACCACAGAACATATGCTACCCAGTAGTTGCCATCTGCTCACCCACAGAAAACCATATTTAATAAGCCTTGGCACTATAAGAGGGTTTTGTGAGACCAGTTGTTCTTGTTGCAACGGTGTAGTAATGGTGAGGCTGCGGACCATATGGGTTGGGAACCACTGCTTTAAAGAAACACTCAGTAATTTGTTAGATGAACAAATTGTGGTTTGGAGCATGTGGCTTGTACATGCATATAAGCCTGATAGATGTTTTTAAGTTCACTCGAGTGAAGCCATTGCTTACTGGTGGCAGGCACATGCTTTGCAGGAGAAGATTATAGCTTCTGACCCAAGATCTCAGCTTAACATCATGGATGGGTAACTTGTAGTCCTCCAGACAAAGACCTCGAAAAAGGCTGGGTTTTAAAATTACACACCCAGAATGCATCATCCAGCAATAGCCAGTCACATATTTTTTAAAGAGTTGTAGTCTGAAAAAGTTTTTTGAAAAACCTGATTTTATGAGACTACAACTCTCAACATTCCTCACTATTGGCTAGGGTGGCTTGGACTGAAGGAAAATGAAGTCCAGCAACATCTGGAGAGCTCCAGTATCTGGAAAGTCCAACTCTTGAGTTAGGATCAGGCAAGTCTAAATGTCCTTGGCTGCAGGTCAGAGTGGCTAATGCTGGCTGGCCTCATTAACATGTGTGGGAGTCAGGTCCCATCATCCCTCAGGACTGATTTTATTGGCTAAAGTTTATAGGAGTTGTAGTCCAGTATGGACTAGGAATATCCACCCAACTTGCACAACAGTGTTGCTTTCTGCCACTACCCACCCACGCACCCTTTCTTGCTTCCAAACGTACCACATTCGGTGGCAGCTTGTGTCCCGGCAGGTACTTGACATTCTCATGCTGTGTGTTGATGATCTCAGTCAGTTTCTTTCCACCAACCTCCTCTTCAAAGACCCACATGTTGACAGTGCTGTCAAATTTGTCCAGCTTGGCCGCATTGCTCCCCACAATCTTAGCAATAGCCGAACCCCTGAAAGGAACAGAGAAGGAAGAGGAAAGGGAGATTATGTCAGAAGGATTTTTGAAGCCATGCCTCTGTGTGCAGCTTTTCCGTACTCTTTGAGCAGAATAAGAATCATCAAGTTAGAGCAATGCCAGTGTGGAATGGAACCAGGATACATGAAAAGTGTTCACATTAAAACATATATGAAAACAGCATTTCCTAACCTTTTTCAAGTTGTGACCCCATTTTATAGAGGCAAAGTTACCAGTGACCCCAATTCATTAAAATAGGCTGCTGGGTAAATGAAAACACACCAAAATAGATTTTTCAGTATAGCATCATTCAAAATAATGTAATCTTACACCATATTTAATCCAATGATGGAAATTGTAACTCATTATCATGCTTAAAAAATTAACAGTTCGAGTTTTAATTAATTCCAAACACATGTCATTCTCAATATTTAATCTGTTTCTGGTTTTGGTTTTCAGTTGAAGAAGCATGAAAATCCGTTGTCACAGAGATATGTAGAAACAAAGGGGAGTAATACTTCTTATAATTCCCTTTTAAAAATATTAATAGCTCATCACTTCTTGCTGACCCCACAGAAAACCTTTTGCGAAATAAGATTAAAAGACATTAAAACCATTCATACCAATGAAAGGTAAGTTTAAATGCCTACATTAAAATGGACTGTATATGGAAACAGCTTAGTCATATTGCAGATGTATTGGGATATTTATTAATTCATCTGAGTGACAAAGACCCCCTTTACACTAGGATATAATCCAGATTATCAAATCAGATAATCCACATTATCTGCTTTGAACTGGATTATATGAGTCTACACTGCCATATAGCCCAGATTATCAAATTAGATAATCCACATTATCTACTTTGAACTGGATTATATGAGTCTATATGGCCAAATAATCCAGATTATCAAATTAGATAATCCACATTATCTGCTTTGAACTGGATTATATGAGTCTACACTTCCATATAAACCGGTTCAAAATAGATAATCTGGATTTTATATAACCGCGTAGAAGGGGCTAAGGGAACTCTCTTAGGCCCCTTCCACACAGCAGTGTGGACTCGGATAGCCCAGTTCAAAGCAGGTATTGTGGGATTTTCTGCCTTGATATTCTGGGTTATATGGCTGTGTGGAAGGGCCCTTAGCCATTCAAATGAATTAACAGTATCTCCCTCTGGATACACTGGTAAGGAAGAACTGCATAGTTAAAGCAATGGTATTCCCCATAGTAACCTATTGATGAGAGCTGGACCATAAGGAAGGTTGAGTGAAGGAAGGCATTGGAGGAAAATTCTGAGAATGCCTTGGACCACGAGAACATCCAACCATCCATCCTCCAGGAAATAAAGCCTGACTGTTCACTGGAGGGAAAGATATTAGAGGCAAAGTACTTTGGCCACATCATGAGAAGACAGGAAACCTTGGAGAAGATAATGGTGCTGGGGAAAATGGAATGAAAAAGGAAGAGGGACCGACCAAGGGCAAGATGGATGGATGGTATCCTTGAAGTGACTGGCTTGACCTTGAAGGAGTTGGAGGTGGCCATTACCAACAGGGAGGTCATGAAGAGTTGGATTCTTGGCCCTAAAACCATTCCTGAGGCTACTTGTTGCAAGTAACACAGCCCTTCCCCACCTTGAGGGCTTGACTGCAACTCCCATGGTCCTTACCCAACCTCTGGTGATAAGAGGAGTTGCAGTTTCCCAGGTTGGGAAAGTCTGATTAAACAGAAGAGGGCAGAATCTGGTTGGAGGCTAGAGCCAGCACTGACACACAGCCAGTGCATGGCTTGGTGGAAGAGGGGCCCAGGGCCTGGTCTGCAGTTCAAAGAGGGGCCAGACGAGAAGGACCTAAACAAGAAGAGGGCCATTCCATACACAGACTCCCAGGAGAGGGAGAGCCCTCGGCCTAATCTGTCCCCTCTGTGACTGGGGCAAGAGGGAACTTACCCCTCTGCTGCAGCAAAAGCAACCATGAGTTCTGTGTCACTCTGAAGACCATTTACAGGCTACCAAAGTGCTCCACTCCTTGTTTTAAAATAGACTATGTCCCAAAAGTTGTTTGAATATACTAAAAAACAAATCTTATAACTGTACAGAAAAGAAAAAAGAGGCAAAAAGAAGCAACAACGGACAGAAGAGCTATGCAAAGGGGAAAAAGGAAGGCAGGAAAATACCCCAATTTCTTCAGACAGTCTTCCTAGGTAATGATAACCTCAAGGAATAATCCCTTGCTTCTGTTGCACTATGTAACACTACTTTTGTTCCTAGGTTAGAAATGACATTTCCTAATTGGTTCGATCATAAAAACATGGGAAAAGTTTATTAAACTGCAAAAAACTTTGTTTTTTTACTGGAGGGACATTCTGCAGCACATTTTGCTCTAATGTTTTTCAACTAATATCATTTATTTATTTGCAGTATTTATAAATTGCTTTTCTCACCCCTGGGGGAGACTCAACGCAGTTTACAAAAAATAATGGCCAAATTCAGTGTCTTACATATATAAACCAAATTGTAAATCAAACAGCATATGACTAAGCATAAAATATAATAGGACAAATTCACTATAAGAGAATAGGATGTTTAAACATGAAGTATAAAAATTAAAAACACCTAATAAAAACATTAAAATCACATGATCCAAACTTGTAGACCAGGCCATTCCAGATGTCGAATACACATATTCCATATTTACTTCTTGTACTGTGTTACTATACTAGTAAAAAGCTTGGCACCATAACCATGTCTTTGTATTGTTGAAGGCTTTCATGGCTGGAATCACTGGGTTGTAGGTTTTTTCGGGCTATATGGCCATGGTCTAGAGGCATTCTCTCCTGTCTTTGTTTTCTATCTAAAGGCCAGGAGGGAGGGCGCTGATCTAATCTCACTGAGGAGAGAGTTCCATAGCCGAGGGGCCACCACTGAGAAGGCCCTGTCTCTCATCCCCACCAGTAACACCTGCGAAGGAGGTGGGGCAAGAACAGGGTCGTCCCAGAAGATCTTAACCTCCGAAATGGTTCATAGAGGGAGATGCATTCAGACAGGTTAAGCTGGGCTGAAACCATTTAGGGCTTTGTAGGCTAAAACCAGCACTTTGAAATGTGCTCGGTAGCAGACAGGCAGCCAGTGGAGCTAACGTAACAGTGGAGTTGTGTGCTCCCTGTATGCCGCTCTGTTGAGAAACTTGGCTGTTGCCCGTTGGACCATTTGAAGCTTCTGAACAGTCTTCAAAGGCAACCCCACGTAGAGAGTGTTGTGGTAGTCTATTCTCGATGTAACAAGAGCGTGGACCACTGTGGACAAGTAAGACTTCCCAAGATATATGGGTGCGACTGGCTCACAAGCTTTAATTGTGCAAAAGCTCCCCTGGCCACTGTGGAAACCAAGGTTCCCAGGCTCTGTGATGAATCCAGGATCACTCCCAAGCTCATAGAGTCTCAAGCAGTTCAACCTAGTTTTTGGCAACCACAAAAACGAAGTTTCTGGAATGCAACAACTACTTTCAAAGTAAGTGCTCCACAATTAAACAGGAAAGAACACTTTCAAACCAGGAACAGTTTTTTTCAATTGTGTTATACAGTGCTATAAGACTTTTCCCTCAGATAAGTGTGTCTCTGTATGCCTCCCTAGTAGTCATCTCTGTCTTGTGGCGACGACATGGATTTGGCAGGGTTTCCTTCCTCAAGGGAGGCTCCGAAGGCTTTGGCCGGTCCCTCCCCTGAATAAGAGCTCAGGAGGGAATGGGGCATGCAATCCCTGGCGGACTCCCATCCCGGTCCCAACCAGGGCTGCCTTGGCTGCGCTGAGTCCATAGGACAAGCAAGTGTGTGGCGGGAGGCGCGCGCGCGGATCAGGCTCTTGCCAATCAGCCCGGGCCTCGCGCGCCTTCGGGGAACCTGAGCCTTCACGCCAGGGAAGAGGGCCCTGATCTGCCCCCCCCCCCCGCACTTGCTTGTCTTATGGACACAGCGCTGCCAAGGCAGAGCCCTCCTCTTGCCCTCCCTCCCTCCATCCCCTGCGCCTCTGAGGCCCCCCCACGCACCAGTTGCCGGAGCCCACGATGCAAACTTTCTTGCCTCCCATCGCCTCCGGCTGTCAAGCGCTGCCTGTCCCTTCCCCGGCCCCCGGGAGGCAATATAAGGACCCCCAGGCTCCGCCCGCCCGCCTCCCGCCCGCCCCCCGCCCCCGGCACCCTTTCCTGGCCGCGAAGGGAGCGGAGCAGAAAGAAAAAGGGGGCGCTGCCACCTGCTGCAGATGCCCCTCCGACCCTCTCACCGCCCACCCCCCTCCCGTCCCTGAAGGGAAGGCTTTTGGCCCCAAACAATCCACCTGAGGAGAAGGGCATGGGCGGGGGGAGGGGGTTGATCTTCGCGCCTTGCTTGAACATCCCATTTATGTATTTATTTTGTCGTGTCAGGAGCGACTTGAGAAACTGCAAGTCGCTTCTGGTGTGAGAGAATTGGCCGTCTACAAGGACGTTGCCCAGGGGATGCCTGGATGATTTGATGTTTTTATCATCCTTGTGGGAGGCTTCTCTCATGTCCACGCATGGGGAGCTGGAGCTGGCAGACGGAGCTCACCCGCGCTCTCCCCAAATTCGAACCTCTGACCTGTCCGCCTTCAGTTCTGCCGGCACAAGGGTTTAACCCATTGCACCGCGGGGGGAGGGGAAACAGGAGTGAAAGAAGCCCGTACAATCGTTCCTTCCTGCCCTCATCCCCCCCTTCCTCTTTCTCCCACTTCCCTCTCTCTTTCCCTCCCTCTCTCGTCTTCTTCTTCCTTCCTTCCTTCCTTCCTCTTCCTTTTCTCCCTCCCTCCCTCCCTCCCTCCCTCCCTCCCTCCCTCCCTCTTTTTCTTATCCTTTCCTTCCCCTTTCCTTCCCCCTCCCTTTCCCCTTCTTTTCCCCCCTCCTTCCCTCAATCCCTGTTTCCTTCCTTCCTTCCTTCCTTCTCCTTCCTTCCTTCCTTCCTTCCTTCCTTCCTTCCTTCCTTCCTTCCTTCCTTCCTTCCTTCCCTCCCTCCCTCCCTCCTCCCTCCCTCCTTCCCTCCTTTTCTTCTTCCCTCCTCCTTTCCTCCCTCTTTTCCTTCTCCTCCCTTTCATCTTCCTTCCTTCTTTCTCCCTCCCTCCTATTTCCTCCTTCTCTTCTTCCTCTCCTCTTCCTCCCTCCTTCTCTTCCTCCCTCCTCCTTTTCCTTCCCTCTCCTTCCCTCCTCCTCCTCCTTTCCTTCTTTACTTCTTCGCTCTTCCCTCTCTCCTTTCTTCCCTCCTTCAAACCTTCTTTCTCTCTTTCCTTCTTTGGGTTCGGGTCCAGGCTATTTGTCTAATCACATCTCCCTATATAGACCATCCCATGCACTGTGGCCAATGGAAGAGGCCCTCCTCTCAGTCCCACCCCATCAATTGGTGGGAACGAGAGACGGGGCCTTCTCTGTGATCACTCCGTCTCTGGAACTCCCTCCCTGAAGAAATAAAAACATTGCCCAAGGGACGCCTGTGGGGATGTTTTACCATCCTGTGGGAGGGTTCTCTCATGTCCCCGCATGAGGAGCTGGAGCTGACAGACAGGAGCTCACCCCCCCCCATTCGAACCACAGACCTTTTGGTCAGCAGTCCTGCCGGCACAGGGTTTAACTCATTGCACCACTGGGGGCTCCACTCCTTCACCATGAGAAGACTAGATTTACAGCTAAAACTGTAGGCTCTCAACAGCTAGGAATAAAGTCCTATTGAACCGATTCTTAGACCCACAATTATATCTGGGTTTAAATATTATGGTTTGCATGACTTGAAAATTATATCTGGGTTTAAACATTATGGTTTGCATGACTTGAAGACTGCACCATATTAGTCTTTCTCTAGGACTGAATCCTCCTCACACCTGTTGTTTTAGACTCCTCAGATGAGGTGGATTTAAATTCAGAGTGTTAGTCAAAGTTTCTGGGTTTCCAAGCATAAACTTCCCCCACCATAGCCCCTATGTGAGCTGCCGTCCTTTAAAGTCCACATGGAAGAATTCCCTGGCAGAGATGTATTGATTTGTCACATAGCAAAGTTCAGCCTGGAGAGCTGGAAGAGCAAAGGGCAGTTAGATAGCAAGTCATTGTGGGGCACGGCTTTCCTCCCTATGTGATTAGAAAGCAGAGTTTTCATTAGCTTCTCTGCATTTCCAGAATAGCAGGTTGAGCCCCTTTGTCCCCAACCTAGAGAATTTCCTCAGGGAAGACAATAAGACCAACCTCCCCCTCCCAAAGATCCTCTGTATCTTTCAAAGTTACAATGTATTGCATTGTGGAAGTGCATTAGCATGGGTCAATATTTGGGAGATCTAGGCTCAGCTCCTCCACTAAGCTATGAAACTTACTGGGTGCCTTTAGATCAGTCGCATGTTGAGAAGTGGGCAAGAGGGTATCCATATAGCCTATGCACTTTGGAGGATTGATGTACTGTCAAAGGCTTTCATGGGCAGAATCACTGGTTGATGTTAGTTTTCCAGTGTCTAGATCTAGGGAAGTAATGCTACCCCTCTATTCTGCTTTGGTTAGACCACATCTGGAATATTGTGTCCAATTCTGGGCACCACAATTGAGAGAGATATTGACAAGCTGGAATGTGTCCAGAGGAGGGCGACTAAAATGATCAAGGGTCTGGAGAACAAGCCCTATGAGGAGCGGCTTAAGGAGCTGGGCATGTTTAGCCTGAAGAAGAGAAGGCTGAGGGGATATGATAGCCATGTATAAATATGTGAGAGGAAGCCACAGGGAGGAGGGAGCAAGCTTGTTTTCTGCTTCCCTGGAGACTAGGACGCGGAACAATGGCTTCAAACTACAAGAGAGGAGATTCCATCTGAACATGAGGAAGAATTTCCTGACTGTGAGAGCCGTTCAGCAGTGGAACTCTCTGCCCCGGAGTGTGGTGGAGGCTCCTTCTTTGGAAGCTTTTAAACAGAGGCTGGATGGCCATCTGTCAGGGGTGATTTGAATGCAATATTCCTGTTTCTTGGCAGGGGGTTGGACTGGATGGCCCATGAGGTCTCTTCCAACTCTTTGATTCTATGATTCTATGATTCCAGGCTAACATGTTCCAGAAGCATTTTCTTCTGACGTTTCACCCACATCTATGGCAGGCATCTTCAGAGGTTGTGAGGTCTGTTGGAAACTAGGCAAGTGGGGTTTATATATCTGTGGATGTCCAGGGAGGGAGAAAGAACTCTTGTCTGCTTAAGGCAATTGTGAATGTTGCAATTGGCCACCTTGATTAGCATTTATGGCTTTGCAGCTTCAAAGCCTGGCTGGGTGCTGCCTGGGGGAATCCTTTGTTGGGAGGTGTTCGCTGGCCTGGATTAATCGGGCAGTATACAAATAAAGATGATGATGATGATGATTTTGTGTCAGGAGCGACTTGAGGTGTGAGAGAATTGGCCGTCTGCAAAGATGTTGCCTAGGGGATGCCTGGATGTTTTGATATTTTTACCATCCTTGTGGGATGCTTCTCTCATCCCCGCATGGGGAGCTGGAGCTGACAGAAGCAGCTCCTCACTCTACCCCGATTCGAACCTGTGACCTGTCAGTCTTCAGTCCTACTGGCACAAGGGTTTAACCCACTGCACCACCAGGGGCTCCATAATAATAATAATAATAATAATAATAATAATAATAATAATAATTCACCCATAACTATCCACCAGCCTTTGAGTTTGCCAAGCTCATTTCCTCTGCCTGGTTGGCTGTTGTAACAAAAAGAGAGTATATCTCAGATACATCTTCTTAATGATGCTCAGAATACAAAATAATATAATAAGTAATATTTCATATCTAAGCACATGGGCCCATCAGTAGGCTGCCATGTGTAGCATCCTTTGAATGGGCAGGTCTGGTTAAGAGATTGTGCCATTGTCAATGAATCAGTGATGCAGATCAGTTGTTTCTAGGCAACACACTTGCACATTTTGTTTAGTTTTTACAGCCACAAAATTAGATCGTTCTTGCTTCTTCCTTTGCATAACACAACTTGTTTGTTCCTTTTTCATGTTTCTCTAGCACACCTACGCAAGCCCTGCATGCGCAGAATGTGTTGAGAAATGAACCATACCATTCCAGATGAGGCAGGAGAGCTCACTTTAAATACTTTCTTCCACCTCAACAAAGATTGCAATCAGAAAATGAATATAGCAGAGAAAAATGGCTTTACTATGTCTTCTTCTTCTTTCAGTCACTTGTTGGGAATTTTGCTTAGGATTTTTTAGCTGGAGATCCTGCACAAAGGAGTTAGACACAATGGCCACGAAGCCCCTTCCGACCCTTGAGTCTTTGGTTCCATGACCACAGAAAGTCTTCAAGAAGGGTGATCTCCCCAGGCGGTCCCTAAAGTGGGACACACCATCATACTTTCTTGCCTGTTGAAAATGTTGACTGGGTATCATGTGGCTTTAGCAGTACCAAAGTAATATATAGCAGTAGAACGAACAAGGGCTCCTCTGACTCAGGCTGAACTAAATGGAAAGCTTCCCATGAAATGTAACTCTTAAAAAGGCTCAAAAGGGAGAGATGGGAACAGTGTGCTTCTAGGAAGAAATGTACAGACTACCTTCAAAAAAACCTGGCTGCTCCCCACTAAGCCCCCAGCAGCCGACCTCCTTTCCTCATACTAGCAGTGACTGTTCTCTGCAACAATTTTTGTGTGTGTGTCAGGAACGACTTGAAAAACTGCAAGTTGCTTCTGGTGTGAGAATTGACCGTCTGCAAGGATGTTGCCCAGAAGATGCCTGGATGTTTTACCATCCTGTGAGAGGCTTCTCTCATGTTCCTGCATGAGAAGCTGGAGTTGACAGATGACAGCTCACCCTGCACCCTGATTTGAACCGGCGACTTTAAGTCAGCAGTCCTGCTGGCACAAGGGTTTAACCCATTGCACTACTGGGGGCTCCTTCTGCAACTAATAAGATCAGGAAAACGACCTTTTGGGTGAAAAATATTGTGGGATGGCAAAAGCCTCTCACATGCCCACCCTGGCTCTGCTTTGCTATTAAATGTGGTGGCAAGTATACAAGAGCTGCAGTACAATTAATCTTTCATTGCTATCCAGCCCGATACTTAGCTATCAGGAGTCAATACCAGGTCTTCTTATATTTTTCCACTCCCAATCCCTTTTTGTCCAATATATTTTTATATGTGATCCAGGTATATAAAATTAAACATTAATAATAAATCAGCATTGACTAGGATTGCTAAACAGGCCAATTTTCTTTTTTTGCTGCATACAGTACAACTGAAGCATTTTCTGCAAGGTCCACTGTAAACACTGCAAGTTGTTCCTAAGAGCTTTGTGGAAATAGAAAAGTTCCAAAACCCTTTACTCTTGCCAAATTTTGGGGGACACTGAGGTAAAGGGACCCCATTTGGGGTCAGGACCCACAGGTTAAGAAGCAGTGGTGTATACCTTCTCTTCTTGCCCACCTCCTGCACTGTGCATGCATGTATGAGAAAGTGTCTATAAATATACTTCCACATCTGGGTGTAACATTACACAGACAGCTCCCTCAGGCTGACATAAGAAGCAGCCTCGGGGCTAAAGAAATTGCTGTAATTTCTGGCATATAAGACTACTTTTTAACCCAGGAAAATCTTCTCAAAAGTTGGGGATAATCTTATACGGCGGGTGTCATCTTATAGGGCGGGTGCTGAAACTCGGCATCTCAAGATCTTACTCCTGAGGACTGCAGTGAAACCATGCAGGCACATATGTACGAGATCTGAGAGGCAGAGAAGGAGGTATGTTAATAGGAAAATTACCATATTGAAATGAAATCTGGTGTTTTTTACATGTTTATTTGGTGTGCGTTGGAAGAGGGGTAGTCCTATAAAGTGAGTATATCCCAAACTCTGTATTTTAACTGGAAAAGTTAGAGGTTCGTCTTATACGCCCAGTCCTCTTATATGCCAGAATATACGGTACACTAAAGGGCTTCATTTCACACATTGCAGTACAGCTACGAATGGGTGTTTTCTTAAGCTTTAGATTTTTTCCCTGAGTCAATTAAAAAGTAGGATACCATGTTTGAATAGAGTTTACTAGCAGGAAGTCTTAGAAGCCTTTTTACTTTTTTTGTAAAGCAGCTTTTGGCCTAGTTCGTATATACCCCCACATCAGGGCCTAGGAATGCAGCACAAAAGGAGAGCACCTTCAGTCAGAGGCAGCTTTTATTAAAATGGGGCGACATCTAAAAGGATACAGTACAAAAAAATTTGGTCCAAGGGGAGAGGGTGGAAGAGAACCACAGAACATAAAGCGTAAGAAGAGGGAGCAGTTAAGAACAGCTACACTTGCCGAGCCAGTCAGTCTCTGAGCTTCCTTCATCTATACTTGCCCTGAGAGCCTGTGGCAGCTACGGAAGGCACCAGGGTTCTATTCCCCAGCACCACAAAGCAAGGAAAAGGAAGGGAAGGGAAGGGGGGGGGGGAGGGAATGGGGTGAGATCTTTCATGTGGCAAAGACAAGACGAGTCGCTCACGCTCAACTTGAACACATGGACACAGAGGGATAGGGTCGCCTGGACTCCTGAATTCACAGCAATCCCTTGCCTCAATGCCAGCGTTGGAAGAGGAAGCGGGGTTGTCAGTTACTTGATTTTTGCAGCTAGTGTCAATACAAGCAACTGGGACCAGTCCAGCTGCAATACAGTCCCTGGAATCAGTCAATAAAAAGATGGCGCTCTATCCTGAATGCCTCCCCACCAGCGGGTACCCAAGACCGAGAAAGATGTGTCAAAAGGGAGCAGTTCATCCCACTAAAAATCTCCTTCCCCCTTATTTAAACATTTAGGATGCCAGAAACCTGCTCTGTGTCAATCCGGTGACAGAAGGAGAGCAACTTCAGCTTGCACATGGCCTTCTGACAACTTTTGCAGGTCCAGAGATCAAAGTTGACAATAGTGGGGTGAGGGGGATATGATATTCAGATGGAAAGTGTGTCTACTTTCCTGGAAATGGATTTTAAATTATTAAGGAGGAACAGGAGGGCCCAATATTCGAGCTGGCGGCTTTTCTAATCATCCCATTATAGAGACACTAATATGAAAGGCAGGTATGACCCTTGTGACCCTTGCCAACTTTGTTGTACTAGTTTTCAATGAAAATAAAGCCAGCTAGATTGGGGGGAGGGATGAAAGAGATTCAGTTATTTCCTAACATATGCATCTGCCTCATTCAAGAGGCCAGAAGTTGTACAAGATTTGCCCTTTTCCTAGGCCCTGCAGGAAACTAAAGGGACCCAGACCTGGCTAAATTTAGAGCTGAGGTGCAGAAAAGCTGTCCACCCCTCAATTTTGGAAGTAAAGCCAGGGAATAGGGCCTGAGGGACTGGCAAGGAAATCCTGAGCTAGGAAGACTCTGAATTGAAGCTGCCCCAAATGCGGAAGAGCTTCAGCCAGGGCAGAAATGCAAGAGCTTTAGCCTGGCTGTCAATGTCACCCTCTCCTCCAAGGAGAGGACTGGAGCAGCAGAAATACGGTGTTGGGGTTGAGGGGGAAGGGCAGTAGTGGTAGGTTCTGTGCTGGAGTGGGAATTGTATAGGCCTGAGCAGTGTATCCCTGCAGTGTTTGGTAGCCAGGAGTCCTGCTGGCGAGGGAGAGGCAGGCCTGTCTATGTGTTACGGATTCCCAGAGCCTGTTCCAACTCTTGCCGTCTCTGCTGAACCTGGAAGAAAAGGCAAAATGACAACTTTAGTATGTGGTATTTCTGGGAGGGAGAGACAAGCAGTAGATGCTAACCAACCCTCAGTCCCTATAGGACAGTGGTTCTCAACCAGTGGGTCCCTGGGTGTTTTGGCCTACAACTCCCAGAAATCCCAACCAGTTTACCAGCTGTTAGGATTTCTGGGAGTTGAAGGCCAAAACATCTGGGGACCCACAGGTTGAGACCTACTGATATAGGAGAAAGATAGAGGGTCTAGTCCCAATAAAGTAGTAGTGGTGAAGGCAGAGGTCCCTCTGATGAGACAGGGCTCTTCTTTCATCCCAGTATGGAATGGGATAATCTCTAAATGCTTAGGGCCAAAGCATGAAACTGAAATTGTACTTCATCTGTTGGCTCCTGTCTGAAATAGGATTATCTCAAAGATGGAATATACTTTTTGTTTATAGGACAGAGAGCTGGGACCAGTGCTCCAAACACCAGACCCTGGAGTAGCTGGGCAAGTTAGGCTGAAACCCCCTGAGCAAACTGAGGGAGGGGAAAATATTTCAAAAACAAGAGAACAGGTTTCACCTTGTTTACACGAGAAATAAAAGAGAACAGTTTACCTTTGAGTAGAAGTATCTGCACACAGCCTCTTGAGCCCATGGTTGGAAGTAGAATTCAGCTCGCCGTTCCTCTTCTGGGTTTCCGACAACATCTGTCATAGCCTGGAGATTAGTGGAGAAGGATTGGTTATTCCCAATTCCTTGCCTCCCTGAACCAAGGCTGTAAAGTCCAATGTGGATTCTAATTCTCTAGTTTGGCCTGCCCTAATGTGACGCTACTGTTCAAATCATTCCTGACCGGAATAATCAATGGTCACAGTTGATGGGAGTCAGTCCCAAAGATCTGCACTGCACCGGATTAGATAAAGCCACTAGATTTTGCTGTTGCCTCCTGAGCAACCCCCTGAAACCAAAGCCAGAATATCCACAGCTGCATATACTTTGTGTGCTTCCTACCTTCAGGTCTCGGCACTGGGACTGAAGCCAATCATTGATGAAGCCCTGCGGATCTCTGGCAAAGCTCAGCATGAACTCCCTCTGAGTCTTCAGCTGGTTAATGGTTTCTATGGTCTCATGGATCTGAGATGAAGAAATACAGTACAGAAACACTAAAAACAAGTGATGACTCTATCCTATCTATCTATCTACCTCAATATGACTGCAAACAGAGATGTAATTGCAAGAAAACATTTCCAAAATCACCTAAGGGGCCAAAAGATTCCCACTGTGGTTCTGTGATCACTTTATACCTCTTTCCTAGTCACTCATATGGCAAGTTTTGCTGGTGGTGGGGTATAAGAATAAGGTTGTTATTGCTGCTGCTGATGTTTATTTATTTATGCCATTTATATGCCGCCCTTCTCACCCCGTAGGGGACTCAGAGCGGCTTACAAGATATAGATACAAGATATATATATAATTATATATATATAATTAGCATAGCACAAGATCAGTATTACAGTATATACTAGCGGTCCCCTGCCACGCGTTGCTGTGGCCCAGTCTGGTGATATGGAAAATAAAGTAATTAGAAAGTGCTGTAATGTCTTTATACTTGTGGGTGAACAGTATTTCTTGATGTTTCTTTGACAGTGWTGACGTAGAAATAGTYTGGTTTGCCTACTCTGGAACATGCAACATATAATTGTCCATCTTTAGGAGTCCCTTTCAAATCTATAATACTGTATCTSTSTGTGTGTGTGAATCAYATATATCTATCTATATCTATGGCTGGATGGCTCTCTGTCAGGAGGGTTTTGATTATGTTTTCTTGCCGTGGTGAAGGGACAACCTCCAGAAACATAGCCTCAAGGAAAAGCTGTATACCAAAACATACATAGACCATACAGTAAGCAAACAGAATCATATACAAAACTAATTACTCGTGGAGGCTGGAAGAAGGTTGCTATTAGTAAACATTATTATTGTGGCGGCTTCCTTGGTGGTGGGAGAGGGTCGGTCTGGATGCCCTCTGGGTCTCCCTCCAAGGTCTGTTGCCCCCAATGAAGCCCTCGAGGCCTGCCTCCCCGCCCCCTCCCAGGGACTATTTTTCCCTCCGCGCCGGGCCTTTCCCTCAGCAAGAGCCTTCCCCGACTCCCTCCAGGCCTGAGCTTCTTGACGGCTGGCTGGAAGCCGAAGTCCCCGGCCTCCTTGAGGTCCAGCCAGATCATTGGCATCCGTGGCATGGCCTCCATCCCGCCTCAGCCGCCACGCCCACCTGCTCACTGGAAGTGCCTCCGGGGCAGCTGGGAAATGGAGTTCCAGCGTTGGGAAACGTTTCGGCCTACTTCCGCCCTGGGCCAGGGAGAGAGTACTGATTTGGGATGGAGATGTGTTCATCTATGGGGGGTGAGGGGGGGGCGYGCGTGCATGTGTGTGTGCCGCGGCGGGGGGGTGGGGTGAGGGGCCATGTGTGTGCGCGCGCTGGGGAGTTTGCGCCAGTGCGCATGCTCAGTTGTTTTGCCGTTTTTTGTGGTTGTTGTTRTTGTTGTGTGGTTTTGATTTCTGAGTGGATTAGTTTGTACCTAGTGGGTTGTCCTTGGGGCATGGCAATTTTGGTAGAGTTTTGTGGAGGGGTTTTAGAGTTTTGCTTCTCCGTTGGACGCCAGTWGGAAATTTATATATATAGATTACTATATTGTACTATACCATTATATTGTAATATTATTAGTAATATTACACGTAATATAAAATATATAATTATATTATATTATTAGTAGTAGTATTATATTGTATTACATTATAATATTATAAATATATGAGTATACAGTATATATTATTGTTGTTTTGTCGTCGTCGTCATCATCATCATCATCATCATCATCATCCCAAGTCCCTTTGGGAAGATGGCAGGAGGGTATAAGAATAAAGTTGTTATTGTCGTCATCATCATCCCATGCTTCTTTAGGGGATCAAAGCTACCGGAGATCAGATGTCCAACCAAACAAAGCATCAAACAAATGAAACAAAAATCCTCTAAGTGCTTTAGAGCAAATATACGGGGCTTTTCAAAATGATGGACCCACTTTCAAAGCAGTGGATCTCACAGTAACTTATTAGTTACACAAAGGGGAATGGTTCAATTAGACAAAATTAAAAATAATTCTGCAAATAGTGAATGTCTCATTAGATCTTACATTGTGCGATGTCATCTTGTGAGTGATTGAGGTAGGGGGCTGTTTGTGCACACAGAGAGGCACCTAGCAGCAATAATTAGAAACCCTTGATCCATCCAGAGCTTTAGCCTGGCTGTCAATGTCACCCTCTCCTGCAGAGATATCCAAATTCAAATTGGGTCCATCTTTTTGAAACACCTTATACATTGAAATATGTGCATGTGGAGGGGTGTGCCCCCCCATGCATGAACATTTAAGATGTTTTTCTAAGACAAACCTGAAAGAAGATTAAGGATTCAATCTCAAGAACATTTACTATTAATTCCATTAAACGCTGTAGTTTCCTTTGTGTAAGTATGTCTACAAGTAATATATCAATGCCTGAAGCAGTACTCATATTAATGAAAACCACTAACACAATTACAATAATTTAAAGCTGGCCCAAATGTGTCTCACATCCCTCCAGGCACCCTCCCAACAAGCTCCTTCTTTTATGGATATGGTGCTGGACCTTGCTGCTGTTGCCCCAGAGTCAGAATCCTTCCAACCAAGAATCTGCTTTATTTCAGCGTTCAATGACTAACTGGGCAACCTTCCCAGGGGTTCTGAAAGGCTGATACAATGCCAGGAATCTAAATCCAGGTCCACCCCAGGCCTGCTCCAGATATCCACAGGGATTGTGTAATCACAACTTTCTAACTTGCTCTTGAATCCCCCTGCAGTTTACCTGGAATTACAGCATGATCATTAACCTATGTTCTTTTTTCAGCAAGTTAAAACCAGGTATCATATATACTTGAGCACAAGCCGAGTTTTTCAGCCCCTTTTTAGGCTGAAAAAATCCTCCTCATCTTATACTCAAGTTAATGTTATTATTATTTTACTCTGTTGTAATTATTTTATTACATTTAGTATTTAATTGCATTTACTATTATTATTATATTTATTATTTAACTTTATTATTACTGTTATTATTATATTTCCATTATTTTACTCTATGATTGGTGTTATTATTATTATTACTAAATTTATTATTTTACTCTCTTTATTATTATTAGAAGGATATGTAAGCATATTTATTTATGACATTTCTTCCTCACCTTTCTCACCCCAGCGGCCACTCAAGGAGGCATTTACACTGAAGAGGGTTAGAATACTGGTTTTCATCAGAGCTGGACAGTCTTATCTTAAACTACATACAAAACCATTTAACCTACTGATGCCTTACCACCTAGTTGTGGTAAAACTAGGTGCCTCGGCTTATATTTGGGTCGGCTTATACTCGAGTATAGAGGGTATTTTGCTTGCTATTATAAAATGCTCACGCATGATGTTGGCTAGCAAATGATTTTACAAGCATACACTGAGAATACACAAAGGAGCCAAATCAAAATATTCAGTGCTGTTTTCATCACACACATTGGTGCAATGTTGTCCATATGCAGAGTAACCCCGAACCCCTCATTTCAGGCACCCTTTCCAAGTATCAAAGGTACTACTGCTTTCTTCTTGTTTTGCACCATTTCTGCTGAGTAATGCACATTATTTCAATTTAGTTTAAATAACTCTTGTATCGTCGACAGCCTGGAAACAGCATTAAACCCTTCCTATTCAAAGCCTGGTAAAAGAAAGGTTTACTTCTCCAACAGCATTGATGTTGCAGTTAGGACACAATCTCAGCTTAAAGGCCACCTCCAGCAGCTCACACCTTGTTATCCAGTGCAGCTATCTCTTGCTGGCTGGCTGTGGATAGCAGGAAGGAATTCATTTGGGTTTTCAAGGTGTCATCCACTTCCACATCAATATCATAGCAGGCAGTTTTCTTCTGATCATTTGGATCAACACTAAGGAAATAATAATAATAATAATAATAATAATAATAATAATAATAATAATAAACAACTGCACACATCATTCGAAAATACATCACACAGTCCTAGATGCTTGGGAAGTTTTCAACTTGTGATTTTGCGATACGAAATCCAGCATATAGATCTGTTTGCTGTGACATACTGTGTTTTTGTGTCAGTAAAATAATAATAATAATAATAATAATAACAACAACAACAATTTAAATATATATTCCGTCGTATCTCCTCAAGGGAACTCAGGGTGTATTACAACACACTAAAAAACACAGAGACAAACATTCAATGCCTCACCACAAAAGCAGATAAGGATACAATTAACAATTTCAACACCAATTGGCATCAAACATGAATATAAATAAAACCTAAAATTGCACAAACAGTTACATAATAAAGATGGCTGGAATCAAGGGTTTGGTTAACAAAGAACTTCCAAAGCACAACTGGAGATCATGGGAAGACAGTAAAAAGCCTTCCAATTCAGGACATTTAGTGAAACCCATTTTTGGTAACACATGGTACAACTTGGATCAAAGCTACAAATGTGGATTGTAATCTGAGATTTCATACTGTAAGTATTACATCTCTCTTTTTAATGGTTTTGCTTCAACTAATGCAATTAGAAATGTCCAAGCATGATTAACATTCCAAGTATATTTTCTAAAATGCAGAAAATGCAAGGTGTTACAAAATGACGGCCCCAATTTCAAAGCAGCATATTTCATAATGGCAACATGTTACAATGACACAATGTTAGTTTAATGAGTAACCAAGTTATCAAGTTTTACTAACCATTTTTATTAAGAAACAAATAAAAAAACAGCAACTCTACAAATGAAGAATATCTCATTAGGCCTTATATTGCAAGTGACTGAGGATGGGGCTTTTTGTGCTGGGAGAGGCACGTAGCGTCAACCATTTCAAACCCTATGCCCAGTCTTTCAACGGATAAGAGTTTCATTTATGGGCATTTTGAGGTTGCAGAGATATAGCGATCTCAAACTGGGTCCCCGTATTACTTTAATCCAAGTTTGATTCCGAAAACAAAGACTCCAGTCTCACCTGATGACATGGTTGATGATGATTGGCTCTGGAGGCATAAGCAATGCATGAAGCCGCTGGGGGATCTCAGAGAACTTCATTCGCGGAGATTCAAATATCTGCAGGATAAAAAAAGAGAAGCTGAGGCATCTCAGAAAGAGCGCTCAATATTCCAGGAGGAGCTGCTGTTTTCCCCCTTTGTCTTTACCTGTTGGAGGTACTTGTCACAAATAACATACTCCCGTTCGTGGGGGTCTTGAAGCTTGTGGGTCTTGATGTATTGCCACAGCGCCTGGATGATCACTGGGCGTGTCTGAGTGTGGATCCCTAGGAGGCGGGCCAAGCGCGGGTCCAGTTTAAACTGTGGAGGCTGCAAAGAAAACATAACAACTTCTCAAAAGGACAAGAGCAACATTTTTGTTATCCTCACTTTCCTTTTTTTAAAGTTAAGAAACCAAAACTCACTGAAGAAAAAAAAATGTAACAATTTAGGGTCAGATGGAAAACAAATGATTTCAATTATTGCTTGTTTTGTGTCAAACTCAAGGCCTGTGAGCCAAGTCTGCCCCACCATGTCATTTTATGTGGCCTTTCAGATGATGGACAATGACTACTGTATTCCTCATCATTAGGCATGACTAGAGATGATGGGAGTTGTTATACAGTAACATCTGGAAGCCTACAGTTTGTTCTCTTTAGTTGGGATAGTGTAATTTGAATTTAGATAAAAAAGTAAAGGTTTTCATCTGACATTAAGTCTAGTTGTGTTTGACTCTGGAGGGTGGTGCTCATCTCCATTTCTAAGCCAAAGAGCTGGTGTTGTCCGTTGACACCTCCAAGGCCACGTGGCTGGCATGACTGCATGGAGCATCGTTACCTTCCCACTGATGATGTATCTATTGATCTACTCACATTTGAATATTTTCGATCTGCTAGGTTGGCAGAAGCTGGGGCTAACAGCAGGAACTCAACCTGCGCCCCAGATTCGGACCGCCAACCTTTTGGTCAGCAACTTCAGCGGCTCAGCAGTTTAACCCGCTGCTATATGAAATCTGATGTTAAAATGTCCTTTAGCTTTTCCCAAACATCAGAGCCACAAGTGCAGCTGGGCCGCAATTCCCATCATCCCCAGTCGGTATTGTGGATCATCAAAAGTGATGGGAGTAATCATTCAATAAAATCTGGGGACCCAAACTGGGTAAAACTTAAAGATCACAGACCACTATTCTCCGTCCATTAACTCAATGGGCCTTTTGAAGACAGCCATAAGGTTTATATGACCTTTGATGAAAATGAGTTTGACAACGCTGCATTATTAGGTCATATAAAAGAATCAACCCCCCAATGAACACGGAAAGTGGGATGTTCTGAGAGGCCAAAGGGATCAGCCACAGTTCTGCTGAAGTGAGGGATGGCCCACAGCCACCAACACCTCTCTATTGGTCCTCACGAGGAGCTCCTTCTTACCTGGTAGTCCAACATCAGGAGGACAGTACAACGCACATTCACATCCCCAGGTCTTTTAACCTGGAAACCGTCTGTCTCCTGRGTGGTAGCAGTCCTGTGCCACTGAGGAGATGAAGAGAGAGAGGAAAAGAGGGATCAGGGAAGAGCAGACATTCAGAAGCAAGGTCAAAGTCAGTGTGAAATATCCAGTTTTGGATGGAATGACCTAGATTCTTCCAAGGACCTTATTAATAGAACTTAAAACAGGCCCTTAAAGCACAGAGAATTGTGACTGAAAAAAAAAAGCTATGGAAGTGTGAAGCTGACACATCACACACTGCCTGAAGTCCTGAATTTAGTAAAGGTAAAGGTTTCCCCTTGAGATTAAGTCTAGTCATAGCCAACTCTGGGGTGGTGGTGCTCATCTCCATTTCTAAGCTGAAGAGCTGGTGTTGTCCATAGACGCCTCCAAGGTCATGTGGCTGTCATGACTGCATGGAGTGTCATACCTTCCTGCAGAAGCGGTACCTATTGATTTGCATGTCTTCGAACTGCTAGGTTGGCTAAGAGCGGGAGCTCACCCTGCTCCCCGGATTCAAACCACCAACCTGCAAGTTCAGTAGCTCAGCAGTTTAACCCACTGTGCCACCGGAGACTCTTGAATTTAGAGGTTCAAACAAAAATAACAGGTAATAAGATTTGTTTTATGCTATTTTCCCTTGTTATACTATAGCAGTCTAACTCTGTATAATGTGGCCTGAACGCTGTATGTGAGATGGGCACCTTACCTCCACCAAGTGATTGTCCGGGCCATAGAGGTCCTTGTCCAACTCAATCACTAGAGACTTGAAGAAGGATGAGAACTTTCTCTTCTGCTTGGTAGCATCATACTTGGAGAGAGCAGACTGTAAGAAGAGTGAAGGAGAAAAAAGGAAGTCATATTTCAACACAAAACATACATCAGGTGCAGAAGTTAAAGCAAAAGGGAAATTGGTTGCTTTTGTGGGGGAAAGTGCGTTTTCACTGAACCAAAAATCATGCTCCAAAGGAACTGCCTGTACCTTATAGCACCATCTTCTGGCACAACTATGCAATGCTAATTAAAAGGTCCCTCAAAGATTATTAAATGATAATGACATTTGAAAAGGTCAGGACTATTTTAACTTCACATCAGCTTCATCCCTATTAAAATCTGGATATTTTCTAAACTAAGAACAGAGAACAAACTCAAGGACTCATTTTCCTAAAGGCCACTAACACAAGCCAACACGACCGCAATTTATATCTCATCTTCCTCTCAAATTGATATTGCATTTCCCCCCCTTTTAAACTGTTTATTATTATAAAATGATAATAAAGCTATACTAGGACCTCTTTCTAATTTGCTATTCATTATACCCTCTATCTCTTTAAATACCTTTCCCCAAAATTTACTTACATATTTACATTGCTACCACATATGTAAATATGTACCCACTTTTTGGCATCCTCTCCAAAAAAAATTGAATAGTTTTTGCTTATATTTGCTATTTTTATTGGTGTTAGATACCATTTCCATATCAACTTATAATAATTTTAACTTGTATTGATACATTTTTCAAATGTCTGTCTCCATAACTGTGACCACTCCATTTCATTTATTTTTGTCCCTAAATCCTCCTCCCAAATGTCCTTGAGATTGTTATTCTTTATTTATTTTAATTTCTTATATATTTTACTAGTTATTCTTTCCAAATTTTTATGTTCCTCTCTATATTTTCCATTTTGTAATAATTCTTCAAATTGATGAAGCTTACTTCCATTTTTACTGTTTTTTACCCAGCTTTTGAACCATTGTTCTAGTTGTATACAATGGAACCATGACAATTTTCCTCCCGAATCCTTTCCTTCTTCATTCCAACTTTTATCAAATCCCCTATTTTTTCCACATGTTTTTCATTATTTTTTTATCCATTATATTTCTTAGATTTTTTGGAAATTTCCTTTCCATTATAATTGGGGCTATTAATGTACCACTTACGTCTTCTAATAACCGCCCTTCCACTCGAAGCTCCCAGGAGGCAACAGTACCTTCTCCATCCTCCGCATCTGACTTGGCCGGGTTGAAGGTGTTAGAGATGAAAATGCGCAGCTTCCGCTTTTGCTAAAAGAGAATGGGACCCAGTAGATAGTTGCTGTAAAACTGTGAATAAATAATCCCAATCCTAACCACCATACCTTCAGCCTCAATGAAAACAATCTTCCCATAATAAGGACCCATGCTCTTAGTAAGGATCATTTCTACACCTGACAAACTTCACCACGTCTACCTCAGGCCCTTCCCAAGCACTGTGCTTCACTGCATGCAGAGGCTGTTCTGAATCTTGTGTTTCCTTGCAGAAAACGTACCAGTATGCCGTAATTGTGTCTAAAAGGTTGTTCAGATGAAAATGATATGTATAGATAAATTCAAACCCAATGTTTACCATGTGTATGGAATTTTAGTCTTCTTTAAAACTGGGATTTGTTAAACGCAGGCCTGACTTTGTTAACACTGTGGTGTATGAATGGCTTCCCCATGATCTTCCTATTGTTGGAATTCAACCCCACACTGCTCAAATCTGCAGTCCTCAATGAGGAACAGTTTAGTTACCTTAGAATAGTCTGAGGGCTTCCCTTCCCTCATGTCTCCTGTATGACAGTTGGAATGTATCTAATTTCTTCTCGCCTGTCTGTTTCTACTCTCATTCCCATTGATTGTGTAGAATGGAGACTTTTCTACTGCAAGTCTTTTTTAAAAATCTGACTTCTTAGTGTATGTGCTGTGTGCTTTGACATCTGTGTGTGTGTGTCAGAGAGATGTAATGCATAGTATTTTCCCCTCTCTTTGAAACCTTAGAAGAGATGGGTGTTAGAGCAGCTCAGACCCACTTCTTAAGTATTAAGAAATGGAGTTATTTATTATAAATAAAAGGCATTTTAAAAGATTGGACTGTGCATCTTTGCCCGTCTAAGTTCTTAATTCTTTACAGCCACATCATACAGAACTTCACACTTTGCTCACTAATGAGCTGACGCTCAACTTTTGTATCCTGTTTGATTTTTGGATGCTCTGCTATTTTACGGTAGTTTTCTCTAACACCTATGATGTTCCTGACAGATGAAAACACATCAAAGGGAAAGTAATGGCCAGGGAACTCCACCTTCTGGCCCACCTAGGCAGATCCTTTATCTAGGCACTACTGAAATAGTGCCTATGAGAAAACCACAGGACAAATGAGTCCCATATAATTTAACTGGTGTACACAAATGATTTTGAAGATCAGGAACAGCGAAGTCTTATTTCTATTGGGAGCTACATTCCCAGGTTGGGGGAGTAATCATGCTTGTGATGGACAGTCCAAAGGCCTGAATGAGCGGATTTACCCTTCTCAGCCCTCCTCCATTTCTCCCCCTTTCTCTCTAGACTGCATGCTGCCAGCACTTGGCTGAATTATGATTAGAAAGTGCCTATGTCTCATGAGCAAGGACAGGGAGAAAGGAAAAAAACGACGCAAAAAGGGCACGCTATCCAAACACGGATGAGAAAACGCGATACCGTCTTCATATCCCATGCCAGGCCATCTGAGATAGCAACACCGATTTCACTACAGCACCAGACAAAGAAGCCCCGCGCAAACCACTTCCTATAAGAGGCATTGCTACTCTCCTCTCTCCCCCCAGACATCCCGTATGTCGTCCGCGACTGTCTAATTTTCCCCCCCCTCCCCAGAACGATCAGCGCTGAACAACTCCTCTCCCCCCTAGCACAAGGTGCAACCACGAGACTAGCCAGCATCCCTTCCCCCTAAACGGACAAGACCGACAAACAGCCAGCCCCTCTCTCTCCATCCAGTGGATGGCATCCTTGAAGGGACTGGACTGACCTTGAAGGAGCTGGGGGTGGTGACAGCCGACAGGGAGCTCTGGCGTGGGCTGGTCCATGAGGTCACGAAGAGTCGGAGACGACTGAACGAATGAACAACAACAACATGTCTCATGAAAGTGTAAGAAGAAAGAAGTGCTGGGATTAAAAGGAACTGGATGTTTGGGGGGGGGGGGGAAGAGAAGAGAAGTGTATGTATGGTGAAAAGGAAACTGAGGATAACTAAACAATGGGAGGAAACCAGACAAAAGACTCTCCTGTTACCTTAATGGGTCGTTTCAAGGCCTCCTGGATATCCAGGCGCTTTCTCATGATGGTCTGGTCCAATTTCCTCTCAAAGGCCAACAAATCCATATATGCCTGAGACTCCGGTACGAGCTCCCGGATCTACAACAGAGAACAGCCAATCAGATGGCAGCTCTTTGCCCTGTTATCCAAGATGTGTCACAGATACCGGGCACTTTGCTTACCCGCTGAGGTAGAATCTTATCTGCCATCTTCTTCTTCTTGGCACTGTAGAAAGACAAAAATGAAAGGACGGTGCTAAGTCTGAGCCCGTGACTGCCAGTATCCTGCATATACAATATATTGCTGAAGCAAAATTCCTGCTGGGTCCTTTATGAAGGGACACTGATGCCTTCTGCTGCATTAATAGTATCTGTCAAATGCTTTCCTTTCCAGTAGCAAAAAATTACAGACATCTTAAAACATTATTTAACAATAGATTAAACAAATATAAAAGCTAGATTTAAATCACTTTAAAAAAAAGTATACAAAGCACCAAAGAAATAAGTTTTTTTGTTCTGTTGGGAAAGGCTATGAAACTGATCTGAATCAAACTGGAATCTTGGTAATTAGGAATTACAGAATGGTCCTAAACAGATTTCCTCAGGAGGCAGTTAAACTGGATGTTATGCTTCCTAATATGTCTGCCTTGGTCAGGCTCCTAATATATTGAAATTATTCCATGTCTACATGTTAATGAGACTTAATAAATTCCCTGAGCCTGTGAGGACTAGGAGCATTGAGTTTATATGCTTCCAGGTGAAGACATGATTGCACAGAACAGGTATGGAGAGTACAGATAGGGCAGGGGACAGAATGACTTCACTGTGCAAATACTGAGGTCCAAATTTGACTGACAGATCCAGATAGAGTGGACTCACTGAAGTTATGAGATCTACACGTATGTTGACTCACTACTGAAAAAAAAAAAGAATCCATGCGCCTAATTTGATTGGGACAATTACCAGGGCTCATACTGCCTCAACCTCTCATTTTGTAGCTACTGTCACCCCATCTTCCAACTTTAAGATCACGTTACTGAAACACTAGTATAAGGTATTTTTAAAGACACATCTGAAAAGAAATCTGTAACTGGCCTTCCCCAACTTGGTGTATTATACTACATTTTCCGTCATCCTATTCCAATATAGTTGGGTAATGGGAGTTGTAGTCCCCCACCTCTAGAGGAGAAAAAGCGCTTCTTACTTGTGATTACGATTCTGCACGGACTGCTGCTGCACTTGTTGGATCTGCTGAGGGGCTGGCCTCTTGCGAGACTGGTCCATCCCTGACTGAGCCATCCCTGGTCGGACTGAAGGGCTCCCGCCATACCCTGGAGGCCCCATTGCAGGTCCCTGGGGGTTCATGCGGCTGCCAGGCAGCATCCCGGGACGCTGGGAAAGGAGGAAAAACAGCCCTGTGATTACCAGTGTTCAGTCAGGAAAAGCACTGGTTACTCAACAGCAAAACACCTTGGGTTCATCTACAGTGTAGAACTCATGCAGTTTGACATCACTTTTAACTGCCATGGCGCCATACTATGGGATCTTGGGAGTTGTAATTTTAAAGGGTCCTTTGCCTTCTCTGCCAAAGAGTGATGATGTCTCATCAAACTAAAACACAACTCCAAAGTATGGAACCAAAGTGGTGCTAAACTGCATTCATTCTTCTGCAATAGTTTTATCCTTAGTTGCAGAGAACATTTATTACAACTGGTTTATACAAGAAGCTGGTTCACAGTCCTTTCTGGAATATCTAAATCTGTTCCTATAGGTTATTTTCTCCCTCCTTTCCAAAAATGTAACATTTCCCAGAAAGTTCTCTTTTCTCTTAGGCTGGAATGCTTAAGGGGATGAGGGGGAAAAGGAAAGGGCCTGGACTGGTTAGGAATTGCAGAAGTTGAAGTCCAAAACACCTGGAAGGGTTCAAGTTTGCCCATGCCTAGAGACTCACTATACAAGGTGCGTGCTTTTGGACAGAGTGGGGAGGGGATTGTAGCCCTTTGCACAGAGTCAGAGATCCCACCCCCCCAGACAGCTTTCAAGCCCTCAGGACTGATTTCTCTCTTCACTCCCCCCCCCCCCACCCCAAATAAGCAGCACCAATGACAGGCCCTCTCAGTCTATGCTAGGTCTCTTCAAACTGTGGCCCTCCAGTTATATGGGCTTTCAGGTCCCAGAAGCCCATGCCAGCTTGTTCAATGGTCAGGAATTCTGGGAGATGGAGGCCCAAACAGCTGGAGGTTGAGAGTGTTTGGCCTATGCCCAGCCATTGCATGCTGTTCCTCCATGTAAAGAAAAGTCATTACCTTCCCAACACTTAAGCATCCAGCCATGCAACTCTTACTTGACATGCAAAGTAATGAAAAAATACTTATCATTTAGCCTTACTAACTGCATAAGCCAGCCTTTAGCTTCAATATCTTTTCAGCACCTCTGGGTCCAGAAACCTGAACCCTCGCCCATTATTATTGTATGACTATGGAGCAGAACAGACAACTCCGCATCTGTATGCTTGGTCCACTATGCCTTGCCTCACGTACAGAGGAAGAACTGTTGGAGGCTACAGACAATTCCATTGCTGTTGCCCGTTTTTGGTCAAAAGATACTTAGCCGCCTGCACTCCTTCTATTTTTATTAGTTTATACTAATTCAAGCAATGCTTTTGATACAAAATAAATAAATAGTACTAAATCATAGAATCCTAGCATCATACAGTTGGCCATCTGTCAGGGGTGCTTTATACAATTTTCCTGCTTCTTGGTAGGGGGTTGGACTAGATGGCCCATGAGGTCTCTTCCAACACTAGGATTCTATGGATTTGCAAGGGCCCTCCACTTCAACCTCATTTTTCCATGCAGGAGCACACAACCAAAGCTCTCCCGACAGATAGTCTGCTTAAAAACCTCCGGAGAAGGAACCTTAATAATATTTATTTATATCCTGCTTTTTCTCTCATAAAGAGACTCAAAGTGCCCTCCCCCACAGGCTAAAAAACAACACAATAAACAACATAAACTTGAAAGAAAATTAAATGTAGAATGGTTTAAAATAGATAAATTCAAATCCTAATAAAATACCCCAGCTCACTAGCAAGGACATAACTATAATTTTATGCCTCTGATTTCATGCTGAGACATTGTTCTCCCTTTGTTTCCTTGTTAAAAAAGGAAAGCACACTCAGGCGGAGGGAGATGATACAAAGGCAGTGAAATCGAAGAGAGGCAAGCCACAAAAGGCCCTCTGGCCCAGCCCCGCCCTGCCTCCCCTCCCCCTCCCCCCATGAAGCCCCGTGTCCCTTGGATCCCCCGCCATTCCCCCTTTCGAGGGCGTCATGCTCACCCCGGAGTCTCTCCCCACTCGCCCTTGCAGCCTCACCCCCATATTGCCCTCTCTTTCAAGAGAGCCTACTATCCCCCGAATCCCCCCTCAAAGGATGGCGCCCTCTTCTCCGCCTCCATCTTTCTGGAATGGCTCCCCTCCTCCCTCCCTCCCTCTAGGCCTGCCAAGCCCCGCCCACTGCAGTGCGGCTCCCTCCGCCGACGTCATCGCCCGCCAAGCCCCGCCCCTCCCTGGCCCCGCCCCTTCTCGCCTCCTCTCTTTCCCCTCCCAAGCCCGGCCGGGTCGGTACCGGGTAGGCGGCGCCGGGCAACGGCGAGCGGTACATCCCTTGCCCCGGGGCCGGGCCCATCCGCACCGGAGGCCCCCCCGCGGCGCCAGGCCCTAAAGGCCCCGCTCCGGGCCCGGCTCCGCCGCCGCCACCGCTCGGAGCGACCGCCTGGAAGCCCGCCCGCGCCGCCATCTTCCCTCCCTGGGCAGTACAAAGCGCGGAGGGAGGCGGATGTCGGCTCAGGAGATGGAGCGCCGATGCACCATGGAGACGCCGCCCGCGGGCGGGTAGAGCGCCGCCGGCTGGGGAGAGAGAGAGGCGCAGAGGAGCGCCCCGCGCGACTCCCCCTGCTGGACGGCGGCCTGCCATTGCAGCCCGCGTCAGGAGCGCCCTGCTCTGTTTGTATGGGGAAGGCCATTCCATGCTAATCAAGTGGCCAATTGCAACATTCACACTTGCCTCAAACAAGGCAAGAGTTGTCGAAGGCTTTCATGGCCGGAATCACTGTGTTGTTGTAGGTTTTTTCGGGCTGTATGGCCATGGTCTAGAGGCATTCTCTCCTGACGTTTCGCCTGCACTTTGGCAAGCATCCTCAGAGGTAGTGAGGCTCTGAGGATGCTTGCCAAAGTGCAGGCGAAACGTCAGGAGAGAATGCCTCTAGACCAGGAGTCCTCAAACTTTATAAACAGAGGGCCAGGTCACAGTCCCTCAAATTGTTGGCGGGCCGGTTTACAATTTGAAAAAAAAGAATTCCTACGCACATTGCACATATCTTATTTGTAGTGCAAAATACACTTTAAAACAATACAGGGTTAGTCAAAATGAATAGGCCAATAAGAAAATTAATTTTAGACGAATGTATGTTTATTGTAACCAAACCACAGCTACGTAGCGACAGATAAACTATCAAAGTTTTTTTTGAGCAACACACATGTACGTTAATGCCGCTAGGCGTCGCTAGGGGTCGCTGTTTTCAAAATGGCGGAATCAAGCAAAGAGAAGGCGTTTTGTGTGATGACATTTGCTAAAACAATGTCAGTAATTACGGTCCAGCGAGAATTTCAAGGGTTAGGGTTAGGGTTAGGGTTAGGACCTCAACGAACACCTTCCCAGACGTTGCTGCATTCGATGCCATTACGTCGGATGTGCTGCAACGGATGTGGAATGAACTGGACTATCGCTTGGACATCTGCCGTGTCACACGGGGCGCCCATATCGAACATCTCTGAAGGTGAGACAAAACTTTGATAGTTTATCTGTCGCTACATAGCTGTAGTTTGGTTACAATAAACATACATTCGTCTAAAATTAATTTTCTTATTGGCCTATTCATTTTGACTAACCCTGTATTTCTGTAAAATACACATTAATCACACAAGACATGACACGAGTTTAATAATTCATGCGTAAATAAATACTAGTTTTAAGCTGCATGATATGGCAATGTAGATGGGGCCTTAAGCATGCTGGCCTTAATGGAAAAGGATGCCCTGTTGACGTGGATGGGACTGGTCTAAGGAGCACATTACAAGGCTTGATTCAGAGAGGTTTGGGTAGACCAGTCTTAATGTAATTTCCCTTTTTGTTGTTGTGTGCCTTCAAGTCATTTCTGACTTATGGTAACCCTAATGTTAACTTATTTTAGCTGGCCCCTAGAGTCACTCAAACCACAACTCCAACCTTTAACTTAATTTATTTCATTTTTGTGTGTTTACTTGAAATTGAGAGCAATATAAAATGGTCGCGGATGATGAGATCCTAATGTGGATACTGGAACCTGAAGGCGCGGATACCGGGTCTGTTAGCAGCTGGTACCAGTCAACAACTGTTTCACGAGTCCGTGCACCTGATGAAATAAGTTGGAGAAGAAGCCACCAAAGTATTTTATTCAATCAGCTGGTTGAAATCTCAACCCGCAGTATCCCACCAAAGTAAGCTGAGATACATACATAGTAAAAGTAAGCATTTTATACAGTACAGATTCAAAATTCCCACTGCCCGCAACTGGACCCAGATTGGCTGTGATTGGCCAAACTCCGATGATGTCAGAGGAGTCTCTCTGCAGAGGTGTGACTGCGGTGTTCACTGGTCATGGGAGAACTTTCCTTGCCTCGGATATAGATGTAGTGCTCTCCAATGGCTGAAGAGGGGCTGAAGGGAAACTTTACACAACAGCAACATAGTAACAAGTTGGAAAAATCGAATGGGATTAAGGTATCGCTGAGTATTTTATTGTTTTGCAAATGGTCCTGTGAATTTCTGACTTCGTGGGGTGATGACTCCGCACCAATGTCCTTTGTTGTCCAACAAAAAAATATTGCTTTGGGTGATTGGATCATTGATTCGTGCCTGGGAAAACAGAAGTGACATGTAGGAAAACAAGACAGCGAACTTCTCCCCATTGAGAATGTCATGTCTATGTGGAGTCCCCGGTGGCATAGTGGGTTAAACCCTTGTGCCGGCAGGACTGAAGACCGAGAGGTTGCAGGTTCGAATCTGGGGAGAGCGCGGATGAGCTATCAGCTCCAGTTCCTTATGCGAGGACATGAGAGAAGCCTCCCACAAGGATGGTCAAACATCAAAAACATCTGGGCATCCCCTGGGCAACGTCCTTGCAGATGACCAATTCTCTCACACCAGAAGCGACTTGCAGTTTTTCAAGTCGCTCCTCACACAAGATCTCTCTCTCTCTCGTGTTAAATGTCTATAGAAGTCCAAGTGGCTACATAGTTTACAGATGACCCTGCTCCAATATCTCCTGTTCCATGTAGCCTGGGTACCGTTCACAATTGCTGGGTGATTACATCCAAGGTTATCAAGTTGTAGCTCAGGGAGTGGCTTGGAGGTGTCCCTGAGCGAAGACGTGCTGGCTTGAAAGGTCACCATGGTGGCTGGTTCTCCAAGTTTTATATAATACAAAGCATAAAGAAATTAAACATATACACACAAAGGGGAATCCCAAGGACTGTGGGGGACCTGACCCACAGAGACCCACTATCCAGGGGACATAGGGACACATGCACGAGGGGCTACATGTGGTTAACAAAGGGAGTCAATCTCCCTGGGCATCCATTGGGGAAAACAGGTGAAATAATAGGAAGGAAAAGATAAACATATACACAAGGGTTCTGTGAAGGCAAAGGTATCTAGACATTAGACAAGCTGACCCCCCCCCCCAGGGAAACATATGCAAATGAACCCATGGGTGAAGAGGGAGATCATCTGAATCTCCGTATCCACAGGGGGTTGGGTTGACATAGGTGATGGGATAGGGGATTCAGTGCAAGGAAGGGGATTATGGGGTAGGTTAATTGAGAGAGGAAAGTTATATAGATCTGCGGATAAGTGAATGTCTACAATACCAGTAAAATGCAAAAAGAGGCAAAATAGGGCTTGGGAGCCTGTTGGGGCTCCCAGAGTGGTTAGGAGGTGGCAATGGTTGTTTATGAGGGGCTATTTGGAGGATGAGGCTATGAATGGGCCCTGTCCTGGGGCTCTGGGGGCTCTGGGCCATGTGGCCCGGGCCATTGTTGGCACAGCTGAAGAATGCAGAAGTGATGCTTTAAAAAAAGTTTAAACCTTAATGGGATTAGGAGGTATTCTCTGGGCGCTGGTATATGCTGCTGGATTTCTCCAGACCTTCGGATTTTTGCATAATTCATTCTGATAAAAATAAAAGCCATGTTAACCTGCGGAACACTCTGCCATGCCACCAAGTTCATATAATTTGGTGGTTGATTGGAGGGAGGGGGGTATTTGTGCTTGACATCATACTCATGATATGAGAAGGGAACACCCTGCTAAGATAACTTGTTCAGTTATAGATCCATGATTGCTTGCATTCAGGCACCAGCCTTCTCATGGAGGTTGTGGTTATCCATACCACTCGCTATGGTGGCTGTGTATTGCCCCCAGGATCAGAGGGAATAGGTCTCTGCTGTATCTCTCTTTCTGGGAGGCATGAAGGGAGTGCGGCATTGTGCTCTTGTCCTGATGGGTCTCTCACCTTGGCTTAGCAGGCCAATCAAACTGATCACTGCTGGGCTACATAGGCAGGCTGCTGGGCTACATAGGCTTCCCATTGTTCTTCATTGGCCCATGCCTTTCAGCCAGAAATTTTGCCTAGAATTAGGTCAAGTGGTCATTACTATGGATAGATGGTACATTTTTTTACTGACTTGGCGTGCATCTGCACTGTAGAATGAATGTGGTTTGACACCACTTTAACTGTCTTAGCTCAATGCTGTGGAGTCATGGGAGTAGTAATTTGGTAAGATACCACCCCTTTTTCACAGGGAAAGCTAAAAACCTTATAAAACTACATCTCCCAAGCAGGGGCGGCTCAACCCATTATGCAAAGTAAGCATTTGCAGTATAGTTGATTTTGCCCAGGGGCGCTCTTGAGGCGCTCTTGGGGGAAAATCTTGACATATGCGGGTTGTAGTTGCAGGGATTTATAGTTAACCTACAATCAAAGAGCATTCTGAACTCCACCAATGATGGAATTGCACCAAATATGGCACACAGAACTCCCACGACGAACAGAAAATATATATCAGTGATTGGTTGGGGGGGGGGGGCAAAATACTGTTTGCTTACTATTGAAAATTACTTAGGGCTGCCTCTGCTCCCAAGATTCCATTATGTTGAGCCCGGGCAGTTAAATTGGTTTCAAGCTGCAATCATTCTACGGGTTCTTTTGTATGTAGGTAGGTAGGATCTATGACTCATGATCTGCATCAACCTTTTAATTGTAACATCATCTCATCAGAATAATTTAGGACAAAACAAAGTTACTGTTTGGATCCAAGTAAATGCACACTTAAAAGGAAAGCATCTATAGGACAGAAAGTAGGTTTTTCAGTGTTCCCTCTCTCCAGCAATCATTGGTAGTGGTAATTCTTTCTTTGAGGGCTAGAGATCTCTTATAGAAATTTGCAGCAGCTCCCACCTCGTTGTAATTTCTAAGATTCTTTGTGGAAGCCTAAATAAGTTGCTGTTGTGTATCTTTTTCCCCAACTTTTCTTTGCAAGATTGTTCAGAGGCCTTTGCCTTCCTCTGATGCTGAGAGTGTGTGATCTGAGATGTTGTCCAAGATCACCCCATAGGTTTCTATGACTGAGACGAGATTTGAATCCTGATCTCTAGAGTCATTGTCTAATGCTCAAACCCCACTACACTATGTTGGATATTTTCTAAAATGTAAG